CGTCGAGTAGGACGCCAGGAAGCCAACTGAGAGCAGTCTCGACGTGGCAGGCTCGACGACACGTCGAGATGGACGCCAGGAAGCCGCCTGGGAGCAGTCTCGACGTGGCAGGCTCGACGACACGTCGAGATGGACATCAAGGCGCCACCTTTGAGAATCACATGGTCTCGACGTGGCAGGCTCGACGACACGTCGAGTTGGCTTCCACCGACTCTCTATTTTGTCCTGTAGCCAATTAGGGCAACCTAGTATTTCCTATAAATAAGGGTACATGCTATTGTCCAGCGGATATTCCTTTTACCCAGCAGATATTCCTTTGTTCTCTCATAAACCCTAGTTTTTGTAATCGTTTTTCCTGCTGAATCTTTGAGTTTTTGCATTTCTTTTCTACATCAAAGTTGTAGATCTCCCTCTCATCTATAACATACTTGCTTTTTAATGATTTCTGGGTTTGAAACGTTTTCTGGGTTTTTATGCATGATGTTCTTCAGTGTTCTTGAGTAGTGGATTAGGGTTCTTGAGGATGGGATAGATTAGGTGTGGAATCCTTAGTATATTTAGGTGGTTAAGTGTAGAATTGCTTGATTTCCCTTCTGGTTTAGTAGATCTTAATGCTATTTCTTCTCTGATCAATTGGAAATTGATCTCAGACATTTCCACACCCAAAAGGTGTTTGATGAAATGTCTGAACAAACTTTTCCAGAGATTTGCATACTCTAGCCCAAGAGATTGGATGTTTAGAATGCTTATTGACTCTATTAGATTGAATCTTAATGCCTGCTAGGTTATATTTCTTCAATGAGAGTTGAGTATGAAAGTGATTTAGCTTGAGAATCTCTGTCACGAGAGTGGATTGATTTGTATTCGAATCTATTGTCTAGAGATAGCTTGATTGAGTTTGTTAACCACCTAGGTAGACTAAGGAGACTGCCATAATCGATTACCCCATTCCTCAGGACCCTTTATCTCTATTGATTGTTTAAATCTTGTTTTTGTTAGTCTCTGTTGCTTAGCTCGACCTGTTAGGCCTAGATCGTTTCTCTGCATTGTTAGGTTGCTAGTTTCTTTTCCAAAGCTTATGCATGATAGTTTCTGGTCTTTAGTTTACTTCTTGCTCTTGTTTACTTGCTGTTTAGTTCTCTTTTATTGCTTTTAAATTCGGTATTTGCATGTTAAATTGGTTGCTTAGGATCAATAGAAACACACAAAACCCTTTCATAATTGGCTTGACTTATTTGCTTTCTGTTTCATATCTTGAATGCTTGCAGTCACACTGAGATTGGATTGATAACCTAATATACTACAATGGCATGTGTATTAGGGATTGATACTTGTTAGATAGACAAAACCAAACTATCACAGACTTTAAACTTATATGATTTCGGATGTACAGGCTGGTTCGATGATATCCATGGTATATCTTTTAATTCTATTTATTCTTCTTTGTTGCTTAGCTTCTTGATATGCACAAGATTGTGAAATGTTGATAGATGTGCATTATAATAAACATAGTAAACGTTTTTGTTACAAGATCTATTGGCTTTTTCAATTTATAGGTTATAAAAGCCTCGGGAAATTGAAAAAACTTGAGATCCTCGATATCGGTAACAACGAAGTCAATAACAGTATCTTACCCTTTCTAAATGCCGCTTCTTCGCTTAAAACTCTAATTCTACATGGAAACAATATGGAAGGTACTTTTCCGATGAAAGGTACGCCCATTTTTCTAGTATTTATGAATTTGAATATCAAGTATCTAATTCAATACTAGTTACAGATTGATATTATTAGTTTCGAACATATTTTCAGCTAATCTTCATTCTTGTTCGTGTTCATATATTGTGAAGAGCTAAAAGACTTGAGAAATCTAGAACTGTTGGATCTAAGTGGGAACTTTCTCATTGGCACTGTGCCAGGTACTCTTCATGGACCAACAACGAGATCTAGGCCTTTCACAGTTATTTATATCTCTTTTCAAATATTGATCTTAGTTAACCTTCATCAAAAATATATATACTTATAGCAGGCTTGGCGGTTTTGCATAAGCTCCATGCTTTGGATTTAAGTGATAACACATTTTCTGGATCATTCGGAAGGGAAGGTATGTAACTGAAATTTAATTTAACTATTTTGTTATCAATAAAGTCTATTCACCTTAATGGCACGTCTTTGATAAAATCTATGGATTCGAGTATATTTTTAGTCTACATGAGTTCCATATATCCGTGGACAACAGATGATATATAGCCAAACATTTTGTAAAACGGTCATTTTTCTAAAAAAATTAGTTTCTTTAGCATTTTAAGAATATAGTTGTTTGCATATATATTTTTTTAAGTTCTAGTTTCTCAAATAATTTCTTAAAGAACATAAGTTTTTAATCTTCATGTGTCTTTGCTTGTCATTGTTATAGGACTTTGTCAATTGAAAAATTTGTAAGAGCTTGATCTGAGTCGAAACGAATTTTCTGGTCCATTCCCTCAGTGTTTTAGTAGCTTAACCAAACTCCAAGTTCTTGATATGTCTTCAAACCAATTCAATGGGACGCTTCCATCTGTTATCAGCAATCTTGATTCTCTTGAGTACTTATCTCTCTCAGATAATAACTTTGAGGGTTTTTTCTCGTTTGATTTAATCGCCAACCTTTCTAAGCTCAAGGTGTTCAAACTTTCATCAAAATCTAGTTTGCTTCATATAGAGTCAGAAATCTCCCTCCAACTGAAGTTTCGGTTGAGTGTTATTGATTTACAATATTGCAACTTGGAAACAGTTCCTAGCTTTCTTCAACAACAGAAAGATTTGCGTCTAATTAATCTTTCCAATAACAAGCTGACCGAAATATCTCCATCTTGGTTTTTAGAGAGCTATCCAAAACTTCGAGTTTTGCTTTTATGGAACAACTCATTCACCATCTTTCATCTTCCAAGACTACTTGTTCATAGTTTGCATGTTTTGGATCTATCAATCAACAAGTTTGATGGATGGCTTCCCAAAAATATTGGACATGTACTTCCCAATATAAGCCACTTGAATCTTTCGAATAATGGGTTTCAAGGGAATTTGCCATCTTCGTTTAGTGAGATGAAAAAGATCTTCTTCTTGGACCTATCAAATAATAAGTTCTCAGGCAATCTACCAAAGAAATTTTGCATCGGTTGTTCTTCATTGGGTATTTTGAAGCTTTCATACAACAGATTTAGTAGCCAAATTTTCCCACAACCAATGAAGTTGGAGTCGCTGGGGGTGTTGATTGCGGATAACAATCTATTTACCGGGATCGCAGATGGGTTCTATCATTCAAAGGGTTTAGTATTTCTCGAATTGTCGAGTAATCTTCTACAAGGTGTCATCTCAAGTTGGTTTGGAGGATTTTCTTTCTTGTATCTTTCGGTTTCGGATAATCTCCTCAATGATACAATACCAAGCACCCTCTTTAACGTATCTTTTCAGCTTTTGGACCTTTCACGAAACAAGTTTTTCCGGTAACTTGCCTTCACATTTCAACTGTCGGCATATGGGTTTGTTGTACCTTCATGATAATGAGTTTAGTGGGCCGGTTCCAAGTACATTGCTAGAAAATGTTATGCTACTCGACCTGCGAAATAACAAGTTATCCGGGACTATCCCACGATTTGTAAGCAACCAATATGTTCTTTATCTTTTGTTGAGGGGTAACGCATTAACGGGTCATATTCCTACTAGTCTTTGTGAGTTAAAGAGCATCAGGGTTTTGGATCTTGCCAATAACAGATTGAATGGGTTGATACCTTCATGCCTTAACAATGTATCGTTTGGGCGGAGCTTAGACTACGAGATAGATCCTGAATATGGATCATCATATGGCTTTGTTAGAGCAGATCAAGAATTAGAGGAGGCATATTCTAGGTCCTTGGTTTTACCACTTGAGTTTGAGCTAGATTACTCAGGCTATTTGGACTTCACGGTCGAATTTACATCAAAGAGAAGATATGATTCTTATATGGGAGAAAGTTTCAAATTCATGTTTGGATTGGATTTTTCAAGTAATGAACTTATTGGCGAAATCCCGAGAGAGCTAGGAGATTTTCAAAGAATACGTGCTTTGAATTTGTCTCACAATTCCTTGTCAGGTTTAGTACCTGAAAGCTTCTCCAATCTAACAGATATAGAGAGTATTGATCTTTCGTTCAACGTGTTGCACGGATCAATACCTCATGATCTAACCAAGTTAGTCTACTTAGTTGTGTTTAATGTGTCATACAACAACTTGTCGGGCTCTATACCAACTCAAGGCAAATTTTTTAGCTTGAGTGAAACAAATTATATTGGTAATCCTTTTCTCTGTGGGACAGCTATAAATAAAAGTTGTGATGATAACAACACTACTGGTTTCAAGGAAACAGATTCTCATAGCGGAGATGACGAAACAGCAATCGATATGGAGACTTTTTATGGGAGCCTCATCGCCACATATGGTATAACATGGATGGCAATTATTGTGTTTCTTTGCTTTGATTCACCTTGGCGCCAAGCATGGTTTCGCCTTGTTAATGCTTTTGTCAGTTTTATCAAATGTGTTTGATTTGGTGTTTTCAATGGTAAATCATTTATTTGGTATTGATACTATGTGTAGTCTTGCTTCATTTTTTCAAATCTTCTAAGTTTGTTGTGCACTATTTGGTATATATTTCTAAAAATGTTCTCGCTGAATTCGAATAGACTTTTGGTAATAGATTTGTATTTTGAAAAAATAAAAAACAAAAACACTTGAACCTTAGCCAAAGATTCTTTGATCCATTTGAGTTTGGGTATAGAGTTGACTTAAGTCTATTTAAAATAAAAGTAGTCAAAGTCTTCTGCCAAGATTCTTCAGTAAAGTCAAAATCTTCCGCCAAAGTCTCTACTCATTATGCCATCATAATTCTTTGCCAGCTTGAAATAAATCTGAATCTTGAGAATAGTTCATCTATTATTAACAAAAATGTAGGAAGAGTTCGTAATGTCAAATTAGAAAATTCTCGATGTTGATGATGTTCTCTCCAGCATATGTTATGGTAATGAACCTAATGGTGATGGATATGATGATGGTATCATTACTGGATGCTCATGGGCATAGAAGTTGCATCGAAAGCGAAAGGAAAGGATTGCTAGAGCTCAAGGCCTATCTCAACATATCCGAGTATCCGTATGATTGGCCTAATGACACGAACAGCGACTGTTGCAAATGGGAAAGAGTCAAGTGTGATCTTACCAGCGGGCGTGTGATTGGCCTCTTCTTGATTGATACATATTATCCTCCTCCCCTACTAAATCTTTCCTTCTTCTATCCATTTGGAGAATTACAAACTCTAAATTTAAGTAATTTCTGGTGTCAAGGCTGGTTCGATCATATCCATGGTATATATAACTTATCATTTACTTCCCTTTCTAATCTTAATTGTAGTCTATTTTTTTATACACAAGTTATTAAACACATAATCATTCTCATGTCAACATCATTTCTTTTTATACTTGCAGGTTATAAAAGCTTTGAGAGATTAAAAAATCTTAAGATCCTTGATCTTAGTGAAAACGGCGTCAGTAATAGAGAAAGCGTCAGTTATGCCACAAATTGAGAAAAAATGATCTCGCCTGCCATTCATTAATCTGAATGCCACTCATAATATGAAATTCTTCAATTACCTTTAATGAAATATATTAATATATTTAATTCAAAACAAAGTAAAACAAGAAAATATATATATATATATATAAATTAAAGTGGTCCCACATATAATAAAGTCGGCCTGACACGATAAAATATTAATAAAATTTATGTATTATAATTACAGTTGCACGTACGTTTATCTTCATAGTTGTACTTTGACGATTTTTACGTATTTGTAGTTGTACCTTAATATAAATTTTTATGTTGTAGTTGACCACGAGATTTTCTACTTTTAGTTATCATTTAGAAGGTTTTAGTAATACTATTTTCACGAAATCATGGTTTTTTCCTTTTTGGCATTATAAGAGAAAGACATCTCTTCTTTGCTCCGTTCTGCTTCTCCTCATAAACCCGAGCTCAGCTCGCCCGCCTATCTCGCTGGTCGTCACTTCTTCTGATCAGATTAGAATCAGACATATGATGATTAGTATAACTAAAAAATAATAGGACAACTGGTACAAATGATACAACTGTAACATTTTGTGTAATTCGTAATTATGTTTTATTTTATTTTATTTTCATGAAACAATGAGGATACCAAAAGTATCTTGAAATGTAAAAAAAACAAATTTAAATCAATAAAATATAAATTTATAATTTTTTTAATACATATTCTTGTTTTCACATAAAACACTTCTTATATTGTAAGGAAGACTTTGTAAGTGGTCCCTCTCTATAATACAAAAGTTGTGAAAACTATGATTTTGTGTAAATTTTACTATGAAAACCTCATAAATGATAATTAACGGAAAAAAATTATATGACCAACTACAACATAATAATGTATATCTAGGTCCAACTAAAAATACGCAAAAATTATCAAAGTACAACTATGTGGATGAACGTACAACTGTACATATAGGGACAACTATGATTATAACACACAATATTTTATTAATATCTCGCCGCCAAAGATATTAATAAGTTGTGAAAACTATGATTTTGTGCAAATTGTACTATGAAAACCTCATAAATGATAATTAATGGAAAAAAATTATTTGACCAACTACAACATAATAATGTATATCTAGGTCCAACTAAAAATACGCAAAAATTATCAAAGTACAACTATGTGGATGAACGTACAACTGTACATATAGGGACAACTATGATTATAACACACAATATTTTATTAATATCTCGCCGCCAAAGATATTAATAAGTTGTGAAAACTATGATTTTGTGCAAATTGTACTATGAAAACCTCATAAATGATAATTAATGGAAAAAAATTATTTGACCAACTACAACATAATAATGTATATCTAGGTCCAACTAAAAATACGCAAAAATTATCAAAGTACAACTATGTGGATGAACGTACAACTGTACATATAGGGACAACTATGATTATAATACACAATATTTTATTAATATCCCGCCGCTAAAGATCCGCTTTACCACACGTGGGATCTCTTTGGATACTTTTCAAAAGTTAAAAATTTTTGAAATTTCTCTTAATTCCTCTATTTTTTTTTTAGTTTTTCGGTGGAGATTTATAATCCAATTTTATTTTATTTTTGCAATTTTTTTACACACGTAGTTATACTTAAATGTACCAGTTGGACCAAAAATCATTACTTTCTTGTATGTAACCCAGAAACGTAGTTGTACCTAGATATACTATACCAATTGTACCTACAAAATGTAAGTAAATACGCTTGACTTGTGACTATTATTGATCTCTGTTTTAGTTCTGAGAATGGAGGTTTCGATCTTTGTATAAATCGTTCATTTTGGTTTTCAAGAGTCTTTCTTCATCACTTGTGGGAGCCAATTCTCTGTTTTTTAATGATCTCTTCACGGCCTTGGCTTCAAGAGCGGCTGAGTTTGCTAATCCGTGAAGCAAAAGTTTCATAAAACGCAACAATGTACTGAATCACCATCCCGCTATCTCTTCCACGACTACAACTTATCTAAACGATTGGGGCTCATTGGACGGGAAAACTGACCGGAGCGTCCAAGGTGACGAGGTACAAAAGCTCAGAAAAATCCACTTCGTTTTGTCTCAAAGCCTTTGATATGAAATCAAAACGAAGAGAATAAACTCAAAGAGCTAAATATCTCTTGGGTAGAGCCGCTGGTGAAAGAACCACGACAAGAATAGCTCCGGCGTAGCGAATTCGAAGGACTCAAGGATGGGATCAAGCTAGAGACTGTTGCTGAGCAGGAGATCTATAGCGCGTTCAGAGAAAGGGAGACATAGGTGGAGTTGAGAGAATCATGGATTTAGACGTAGAAACCTTGATTTGGCCATAGATCGGAGCTGGCGAGAGCTGGTATGATTCCGATGATTTGGAGTAATGTGGATCTGTGTTCGGAAGCGGGATGTGTGCCGAAGTTTATACATTGAAGGAGTTTTAGGAAGATTTGTGAGTTTAAAGAACATAGAAAATTTTTGACAATAAAAAAAAAAAGAGAAAAAAACACAGAGAAGAAGAAGAGAAGAATACGTGCCTTGCTATTTTTAAGTTTTAAATTTATTTAAGTAGATAAAAGATGTGAATGGATTCAGATCTGGGTGGTTGACCTATATTTTAGTTGGTTTGGGTCGATAATCCAAAAAAGGATGGTTGGGTCAGTAATTATTGGAACTTATCAAGGGTTTCAAAGTATTTTTGCTACCTTTTCGATAGAAAGAAAAAGAAAAAAGAAATAACTTTTATAACGGTGGTATAAGCGAACACTTTTTTTCAATTAGTGGCATAAGAGATAAAAATTCTCAGTAATACTGTCTTACGATTTTTAAATTCGGCTTCTTCGCTTAAAACGTTAATTCTTCATGGAAACAATATGGAAGGTACTTTTCCAATGAAAGGTACCTCCATTTTCAGGTTTTTATTGAGTTGAAATATTAAGTCTTGTAGTAATTAATTACTTGTTACTATTCTTGTTTTAAACTTGCGGAACCTATATTTTTGCAGAACTTAAAAACTTGAGAAATCTAGAACTACTAGATCTAAGGGTCTGACTGGTTTAAACGCAGCGGTTGCGGTTGCGGTTGCGGGAGTTTGCGGAAGCGGGCGGTTGCGGTTTCAAGCGTTACCAAGCGTTTTGAATTACTGGTTTAGCGTTTGAAAATGAATGCGTTTGCGGGAGTTTTATGACTGGTAAACAAGCGGGTGTGGTAGCAGTTAAATAAAAAAATGACAAAAAAAATAAAAAAATATTACAAAAAAAAGAAATAAAAATACCAATATATTATTATGATAATATTAGAAAAATTGAACATGCTTAATAATTAAAACCATAAATAAAGTACTAAATAGTTATTCAAAAATAAAGAAATTTTGTAATAAGATAGTATTTATACTGGGTTAACACTAAAAATTGCATCAATTAATGGGACAAACTGTGAATAACGTTGAATTCAATCAAAAAGCAAGTGATTTTCTATTCGAGAAAATAAATCGAAACATATATTCAATCAAAAAGCAAAGCAATACATAATGAAAAGAAAAAAACGATGCCAAGAAAAATATTCAAAGAGTTACATATGAGGTGATGAATGAATAAAAGGATATATGATACTTACGTTTAGTTATTGATTTTCATCAGTTTGGGTGGAAGACATTGAGAAAATAAGGTTTTAGAATATTGATTAGGGTCTATGATGAGAATGTGATACAAAGATGAAAGATACATATATGATTAATATATTTTATAATAATTATAAGTAAACGTTTGTTTTTTTTTTAAATCCAACCGCTACCGCCCGCAACCGCAAACGCTTGCGAGAAGGAGTTTTTGAAATTCAGCGATTTCGAGCGGTTTAAAGCGGTATGGAGGTGTTTCTATGATTGGTACCAACCGCTAATAACAGTAACCGACCGCTAGCAACCACTAGGAGGGTGCTAGCGGGAGAACCAATCAAGCTCTAAGTAAAAACGAATTTGTTGGACCAGTTCCAGGTAAATTTTTCTCTATTTTTTTTAGAATGCAAAATATTTTCATTACATGTCATTCTCTTTATAGATCGAAAAATAGATCTATGACACTTGTTAAAATATTCTCTTTTCATATCTCTTTCCCCTTATTACCACAGATTTGGTAAATTTTCATAACCTTCAAGGTTTGGACTTGAGTGATAACAAATTTTCTGGCTCACTGGATAACAAAGGTACGTTAGAACTTCTTTTTTTTTTAATGATAAGTTGTGTATCATCTTCTTATGCATTTACATGTGACTGTTGCAGGGCTTTGTCTACTGAAAAATTTACGCGAGCTTGATCTAAGTCAAAACAAATTTACAGGTCAATTTCCTCAGTGTTTTGATAGCTTGACTCAACTCCAAGTTCTTGATATCTCTTCAAACAATTTCAATGGGACAGTTCCATCTCTTATCAGAAATCTTGATTCTATTGAGTATTTAGCTCTCTCAGATAATGAGTTTGAGGGTTTCTTTTCTTTCGAGTTAATCGCCAACCTCTTGAAGCTCAAGGTATTCAAACTTTCATCAAGATCTAATTTGCTGCATCTAAAAAAGTTGACCTCCTTACAGCCAAAGTTTCAGCTAAGTGTCATCGAGCTACAGAATTGCAACTTGGAAAATGTTCCAAGCTTTATTCAACACCAGAAGGATTTGCGTGCGATTAACCTCTCCAACAACAAGTTGACTGTAGCATTTCCCTTTTGGCTTTTGGAGAAATATCCAAATCTTCGGGTTTTGCTTTTGCAGAACAACTCTTTAACCATTCTTGAGTTGCCAAGATTACTTAATCATAGTTTGCAGATTTTGGATTTATCAGCTAATAGTTTTGATCAACGTCTTCCAGAGAATATTGGAAAGGTTCTTCCATATCTAAAGCACTTGAATCTTTCGAATAACGGGTTTCAATGGATATTGCCATCGTCATTTGGTGAGATGAAAGATATTAAGTTCTTGGACTTATCTCATAATAATTTCTCTGGCAGTCTACCAATGGAATTTCTTATTGGTTGTTGTTATTCATTGCATACTTTGAAGCTTTCATACAACAAATTCTTTGGCCAAATTTTCCCAAAACCAACAAACTTTGGGAGTTTGGTCGTGTTGATTGCGAATAACAATCTATTTACTGGGATCGCAGATGGATTGCTTAACTCGAAATCTCTAGGAGTGCTCGACTTGTCGAATAACTATCTACAAGGTGTCATTCCAAGTTGGTTCGGGGGCTTTTTTTTCGCCTATCTTTTCCTCTCCAATAATCTTTTGGAAGGTACCTTGCCAAGTACGCTTTTCAACATACCTACATTTAAAATTTTGGACCTTTCTGGAAATAAGTTTTCGGGGAACTTACCTTCGCAATTCAATGGTATGAATATGAGTCTATTATATCTCAACGACAATGAGTTCAGTGGGACGATTCCAAGTACATTGATAAAAGATGTTTTGGTACTCGATCTGCGAAATAACAAATTGTCCGGGACTATCCCGCACTTTGTCAAGAACGAGTTTATCCTCTCTCTTTTGTTGAGGGGTAACACATTAACGGGTTATATACCTACTGATCTTTGCGGTCTAAGAAGCATTAGGATCTTGGATCTTGCCAACAACAAATTGAAGGGAACTATACCATCATGTCTCGACAATGTATCATTTGGAAGGAGGTTAGACTATGAGGTTAATGGCGACAAATTACCATTTGAAATCAATGACGATGAAGAATTGGCGGTGTATTCTAGGTTATTGGTTTTACCACGTGAGTATTCATTCTTCAGACTACACGGGCATTTTGATGTTCAATGTTGAATTTGCATCAAAGAGTAGGTATGATTCTTACACTCAAGAAAGTTTCACCTTTATGTTTGGACTTGATCTGTCAAGTAATGAACTCGGTGGTGACATACCAAAGGAGCTCGGAGATCTTCAGAAAATACGTGCTTTGAATCTGTCTCATAATTCCTTATCAGGATTAATACCTGGAAGCTTCTCCAATCTAACGGATATTGAGAGCATTGATCTTTCGATTAACGCCTTGCGCGGACCGATACCTCAAGATCTATCCAAGTTAGACTATATGGTTGTATTCAATGTGTCGTACAACAACCTATCAGGCTCCATTCCATCACAAGGCAAATTCTCTACTTTGGATGAAACCAACTACATTGGTAATACTCTTCTCTGTGGATCAGATATAAATAGAAGTTGTGATGATAACAGCACTACTGGGTTCTTTGGATCTGATGCTCAAAGCGAGGATGAGGAAACAACGATCGATATGGACATTTTCTACTGGAGTCTAGCCGCCACCTACGGTGTAAAATGGATCACATTTATTGTGTTTCTTTGCTTTGATTCACCTTGGCGCCAAGAATGGCTTCGTCTTGTTGAAGCTTTTATCAATTTTTTTTTTTTTTGAATTTAATGTTAAATTATATTCAAAAGAAAAAAAATATAGGTTTTTACATCAAGTGCCACATTTGGTAGATGTTTCTGAAAGGAAAAAACATAAAAGCGAAAATGTCGTGAACAATTTCTATTGTCTCGACTGAAACCAGAGTTGGAGGCTCTCGTCGAATCATGATGGCAACTGGGCTATTGAAGATGGAGGCCCAATCAAAGTGTTAACTCGTCAACTTGATAAGATGGAGTACATGAGGTTTAAATCTCAAATCATTATAACGTGTTTTGGTGTTGATGATTGGAAGATTAAAGAAGGGCAAGGAGATTATAATTTCTCTTTTGGAATATTCTATCAATGGAAGAAAAGAAGGAAGCAATAACAGGAATTGTGAAACCGAATGGAGGATATTTGATTTCTGATTTGTTTGTCGATCCACATCGTTTGCTGAGTAGCTGTGTTTGGAGTTGCCTCGTGCCTGCGTCCATTTCTTTCTTTCCAGATTGAGTAGACCACAGCTTGTAAGACATATCTTGTGAGGAAACTTTCAATGCGATTTGGTATATTTGCATTGGTATTCAAACTACTGTACTATTTAGTACATCTTTTTCAAAGAGTTTCCGTTGGATTTAAATAGTCAAATTTGCTCTTCCTGAAATTTGTAAACACGAAAATCCTCAAACTAGTCACTTGAGACAAACTACTTTTTAGTTTTTGAATCGCTAGTTTATTTACAGAGATGAAATGGCGCAAACCTCTACGATTAAAAAAATTAACAGAGTCGCGCTCATTTCTCCATTTCTGTTTGTTACTTTCTACAGATGCATTAAATTGCTTGGAACACAAATTTTTTTGTACCTCTTCTCCGTCTACTCATTCTGATCCTATACCAAGTTCTTCAGAATCCATTAATGCACCAGATGCTTTGACTTCTTCATCAATCGGGAGTGTACGTTTTGAGCCATCCAATGCAACACCCAGAACAAGGTTCTCCTCCAGAAAAGAACTTGTACCAGACCCACCACCATCTCGAGCTTTCGAATCTCCACTGCTCTTTTCAGTCCCTTGTCTTGCTTTTGATTTCAATGTCTGCTCTGTTGTACCTTCGTCATCATAAACTTCATCCTTCTCTGCTTTATTTGAATCTCCCACGCTCTCTTTCTTCTTTTCTTCTGACTTTTGTGCTACTGGCTGGTCGGATGTTGAGGTTGGTGAACCCTTAGTGCCTGTACTGGAGTTGGAACCAAGAGCCGTTTTCTGTTTCTCTTTTTTGGCATTTGAAATCAGCACTGACGCTGATCCGTTGTTTTCTGTTTCGGCCTTGGTTTCCGATGGTTCTTCTTGAAGGTCCCTTTCTTCACTCTTTTGCCCTGGGCTGGGTGAGGGAGACTTTGAGTTGTCATCGCTGTTGATTTTATAGGAAGGCTCAATCAGCATGAATCGACGGTTCATCGCTGCTTGATTGAAAATGATGTCTGAAAATCCTGCACTGTCCACCTCAGCCTCATTACGCATCCTCTGTACTGTTCTAATGGGAGTTGCTAGACGTGCCCCGTGATGCCTAATAACAGTAAGAAGATCCAAGAGCACTGCTTCCTGTTCAAAGACACAAATGTCTATGACATATTATATAAGGTTCATATAAGATTCCATCATAATAGATAACCATATGACATGCAGGCATACACATACAGACACATAAACACGTGACACAGGAACAGATTCTCGGAGATGCACTCAAGTACACATGCATTAGCACACACAAAACGATGTCTAGGGAAAGTGATGAAAAAGAGACATGTCAAAAGAGTTGATCAGACTAATCATAGTGTTGTATGTCATGTGTGGTACGATGAAATACACACAATTTGAATGATATAACTTAGCAGCCAAGGAGATACACTCACGTGATGAAAATTGTGTATTCAGTTAACTTTTAACATACCTTAACGCACAGGTATTCTTCAAAACGTGAAGTCTTTACAAAACAGGATATTAGGATCTGCGAATATATCAGATATATATATTAAATCTGGTTAACGTAAAACAGACATATTAGTTGTTGACAGAAGGCATCTTCTTACCCTCAGTGCTTGGTTCTCTGGATCTATATCTTCCAAAAAGACTCTTCTGTGTATTTTTTGCTGCTCGATTTGAGGATTTTTAGACAACACCTTGCGCATATCAGCTACGATATTCTGTATAGTTGAAAAAGAATACAATAACTTGTTACATTGAATGAGCCAGAAGACTCTAAAAGTGCAGGGATGTAAGAACGTGTAAACTAGACTTTTATTGCTCACATTAATTTTGCTGACATCAAGATGACTGATGGCAAGATGTGTTTTGATGCGCCAATGCGTCTTCTGAGTGAGATTTCTCACGATATTTACACTAAACTGGTGGTTAGGAATATGAACTGCTTCACGGTCATCACCTCTGATAATTGTAGGTGACCACCAACCGACACGCTGAAAAAGAAGAAAAGTCATTTACGGAACGCAGTTCATATGTCAAAAAGAAAACTCCTGTCTGAAGCTAGTGAAGTGAACACGAATAAATTAAAAATCTAATAAGGATAAATTGACAAGTTAACAGACCTCTACTGTGCCAGAAACTTCATAGCCTCCTATCTTGGTCTGGATCCACTCATTCAGAACAAAGGGCCGTGTAGCATGAATCATAATGCTTGAAAGAAAGTTTGTAAGTATCTGCACCATCCACAAAAGGAATAACTTTCCCACTGTAAAAACGATTTAGTATGCCAAAGTATTTCCACAAAGAGAGCACCGCACCTCACGACCAGCAAGAGTTAGCAGTACTGTCCCCAGACCCCCAGCCGTTAGCCACTTTTGGGTAGAGAAGCCCAACAGCTCCATAAACAATGAAGCAGCAGCAACCCACGCAGCAGTGTAAACAGCTTTTCCAGCAAAACTGAAACCCATCTGGCATAACAAAAAACAGATAAACATTTTTCCGAATAAACCATCTTAGCTGAAGAGTCATTAAGGTGTCATGATCTAATCTCAAGTACAACGTGTGCATCTATGTTGAAGGATTAAATGTAATATAAAACATACTTAAACTTCTCCTAAGAGGTAAATACTAAGGAAAACTCATCCCTACAGTTGAGGCATCAAAACACATAGCCAACTGCAGGTGTTGTGTTACCCCTTCATGCCGTATAATAGGATGACCAAGAATTTCCAATAAAAAAGACAGTGTCCAAATCTGTTTTAAGGATAGGAAGACGTACATTTCTGGTATCAGCAGGATTATTTGTCTCCATAAAAAATTTCTGCACCTGCTGAAGTAGGCTGTAGAAAAGACATATTGTATCAGCCCAAAGATTGCATCAAACATGCTCAGTAACTGAAAAACCATTTGGTACTCAGTAAAGCTAAGTTATGATATATATACAGGGGCAGAAATTAAATAGCACCTAAATGGTGAACCTGCAGTAAGGTCATTTAGCTCTTTTGAAGACTTGTATCCTTAAGAAACTCTTGCTTACCTTGATAAACAGCAAGCAAATGCCAACACCGTTGACATGGACCGAGCAAAGGTCAGAAGACGCTGTTTAACAGCCTGGCTGGAACTTGAAGGCAATACTATTGGGTCCAATGTTCTGAAAGACATTTCCATATTGGTTTTAGTAAACACATATAATAGTTAATTAGTTGCAAAACAAAAATACTATTGACCTGCATAGAAGGATAGCTCCGCTCCAAAGCAGCAAAGGCTGAAGATATGACACAACAATGTATTGTGTGCTACTCTTCTGTGAATTTGCATCATTCCCCTTCTGGAATTAAAGTTGCATTCACTTAAAATAAACTATAGCAAGTAATCCAGGAACCGAAGTTGAAGGAATGTATAAGAGAGAATGACATCTCACCTCAAACAGGGTAGCTCTGGCAAGGCGCAGAAGGGGTCTAAGACCCCATGTAGCAAATGCAAGAATCCCAACTGCTGGAATTAGTTTCATTAAATGATTTCCGCGTAAAGCATCATATGCCCTGATATCAATAACGAACATTTCAGGTAAAATGGCTATAATAATTAAAAAGTACACTATAAAGGAATATGAAAGATAGCCCAAACGTGGAAATGATATCCTAATCCAACTACTGGTATCTTTTGGGTCTCAGTTGTAAGCAAAAGCCTGTGATGTGTGAGCACAGCTAAGTCATTTAATAGTACAAGTGAATTAAGGTTCGAGCATATAACCTTGTGAATATTACTGCAGTTGATTTAAGAATAGGGCCTTCGTTTCCATTCCCTGGAAAGAGAGCTGACCGGCAAACGAATGCATTACACCTAGATGATACAGGTACTATTGAACCACTCAAGCTCTCTAGAAGCTGAAGACTCCAAACGTCTTGTCTCTAAGAAAAAAGGAAAATCAAACGTTAATAGAAGCCCACATAAAGCGGTGAAGGTTATATTAGCTACAAGAATCCAAACTTCACTAAAAACATGAATATATGTCACAGGGGGGAGATAAATAGCAAACAAATGGCTATTCGTAACTATCAGACACATACACAAATAATTTTAAATACAATAGAAGCAGACCCCCACAAGCATAAATATGAGAATTACTACAAAAAAATCACCTAAAAGTTAGAGGAGAGTTCACTCATTGCTTGAAGAAAATCAAACAGCACTAACAAAAGCACAGAACAAAAAACTAAACCATTGAACAATGCTATGAGCACAGATGATACCGTAGCACATGATGAAAGACCAGTCCGAGTCAGATACACACGATTTTTAGCAGCTGCACTCTGCAGGAAAAAGAGAAATTGCACACACCCAAGAACAGATTAATCTTAGATAACAAAAACACACAAATCGACAATAAAATAAAAAATCCGAAAACAACACAACGTACATTATGGTATCCAGAAGCTTCATGGATCTTATGAACATTGAGATCATGAGACAATGGCAAAGAGACAGTACGCATCATCATCCCAAATGTACAAAACAATGATAAACTAATCTCCTTTATACAATCAATTAGCCTGCACAAAAATCAAGAATTAGCTTCGCAGAACATTAAACCTTCAAAATCATCAAACATTTTGCATAATTCTTCTAACTTCACGCATGCAACACAGAAGACGATATACACTACAGCAAATGAGACAACACTGAGACGATTTCATCGAAATATAAAATTCCCCCCAATTAAAGCCGATCTTTGTCTAATCAAGCATGATCAAAGTCCGATTCACACAATTGCTTCGAATCCTTCTCTAATTTCACGCAAAATTAACCCGAAAAATGCAAGAAGTTCGCGGATGTTACCTACTCCGTACGGAATTGAGAAATCGAGAGAGATCGGAAGCAAACAAAAAGAAGCAAGTAGCAATCGGAGAAGATCAGTGGATAGAATCAGAGAGAAACGGTGAGCTTCTTCTTCTTCTTCTTCTTCTTCTTCTTGTTGATTAGTTTCTTTCTTTGTTTCAAGAACAACCACAAGACATGACTATAGCTAACGTGCGCGAGGAGGAGCTTTGACGTATCAATCTAAAATACGCCAATTCGTGGCAGCTTCATTAACCTCCGAGTTTTTTTTTTAGGATTTAGAGGAAATGATGAATGAATGGATATTTTCAACTATTTGAGTGGTCCCGCAAATTTACGATTTTCACCAAACGGAATTTTTGACGACTCTTATCCGAAATACTTTCCACGTGATCTTATAATTGGACCGTCGTGGCGTATTGCTCCACCGACCAAATTATATGAAACGGGCCCATTTTTAGGCCCAGATTAGCCCATTTAAAGGTTTTTTTATATTGCTATTTTCAGTAGGGTCCAGTTTGTTTTTATTTTTATTTTTTTTGGACAGCCAATAGGAATTGGTCTTGAATTGAAATTAATAACTCATCTGATTCGGTTCCATTTGAAGTTTTGAACCTAAACTAAACTCTAATTAAAGTTTCTCTCTCTTCTCTCTCTCAAATCTTTTAGAGAGAGAAACTCTCTTACAAGTTCTTCGTTCATCCGTCCGGTTAATTCCGGCAAAGCCGTCCGGTGTGTTATCTGGCATCCGTCCGATATTTATCGGCTAATATAGCGATAATTGATCGGCTTTTGTCTAGCATCGATCGACTTTTTTAGGGACGATGGCTAGCTTTGTTTTCTCTCCGGATTTTGTCCGGTTTCTAATCACGGTTACGTTTGTGCCGTTGATTGTTTTTAGTTTGCGGCTCTTTGGATCTGTGTTGGTGGTGGCGTTTGTGGCGATTCTTCGTTCAAAAGTGTCTCTTTTCCGACTTGTCCTGGAGCATGCGGTTTGCGAAAACCATTTAAGAAATTTGCGACTTCAGTTGAAGATATAAAGCAATTTCCTCAGCTTATTACGATTGCCTTTAGCTGTTTCTTGTCTTTGAGCTTCGATTGGTTTGGTCCACAGTTTGGATTAATCAGATTTCTTATTCTCTGTTACCCGTTGGATCTCAAAATTATTTTTGATGATTCCTACAAAGGGTCGAGTTAAATTGATCTGTATTTTATCCTTATGCTGTTTTGCACTTGCCGGTGAAAAACAGACGAATCTATCTTTGATTTCATCTTGATGATAGTTTCATTCATCGGAAGAATCGGTGGCTCCGACGGCGAAGGATGACGATGGAAATCTTTCAGTTGCTCATTTTACGTGTGTCGATTACACGTGTCTTTGAGTGGAATTATTTGACTCGATCTTCTTCTTAAGCGGTGCAATATTGGGCTCATGTTGGGCATTAGTTGTTTTCGTAACCTGTTGTTTTTGTTGGGCTTTTGCCTTTGCTACTGTTTGTTATGTTTCATCTAATAAAATTGACACTTACGAGAAAAAAAAAAAAAAACCCTATTGCAAAACAAAAAGACAAACAAATCGATCTCTAACTCTGAAAGAAACACTCGGAGATGCAGACAAGATCATGGAATCAGGTTTTATCCGGTGTCTGGTCAGCCACCATAGATCTTCTCAGCCCTTTGGTACTAAGAGCATAAAATGCCCTTATACTCTGTAAATTCAACTTTTTGGGGGCATGATGTTCTTTGTTTTTCAAAAAATAAAGAAGCACTTTAGTTTAAGTTGGTGTTTGTTGCAGGATAACCTTTTGGATGCTAAGTCTCTTTTAGCAGTTTGCTCAGTGTGGTAGTAACAATGGTGAGCCAGAAGCTGTCATAACATAAGTATAAGATGAAAACTTTGAAATCAGAAGTGACGATTGTTGTTTGTTTTTCTGGTTTGATTGAGAATGTTATGATGTTTAGCTTTTTTAAAAATGCTGCCTTGTTTGTGGCTTTTACTTAGTAGTTGACTTTGTTTAAATTGTCCTTTGTCTTTCTCTGTTTGTAAAGTCACTATCATGTACCTTGTACTGCCTCTCCAAAATGGGTTCTCATTGATGGAAGTAGCCTCTGTTTAATATATAAATCAGATTCTTTGGAAAAAAAAACACCTATTGCAAAACTAAAAACAAAAAAAAACAAAACCGGATTACAAATCGCCAACCCTAATAATAAGTCTGGGCATTCGGGCGGTTCGGATAATACGGGTCGGTTTAATCAGATTTTAGGTTTATTCGGGTTAACAAGAAATGCCACTGAACTGAACTGAATAATATTTCGGTTCAGATGTCAGTTTATTTGGGTCGATTTTATGGTTCAAAATCAATTCCGAATTGAACCGATTTTCTATTTATTTCGGTTCATTCGGTTCGTTTTTCCGGTTTAGTTGTTTTTGATATAAAAAAATAAAATAAAAGCTTTTCCGGTTTAGTTGTTTTTCCGGTTTAGGGGAACAAATGGCTGGAAAGCCACTTTTGGGGAAAAAAAAGGTTGGAATGCCACCTCTAATTTTTAATTTCATTTAACATTTTTTTTTAAAATCAAAAACTAAGGAAATGTCTAAAAACCCTTTCAAAAGATCAACAATTACAAAATCATACCTCAAATTTACTATCTCTACAACCAAACACTCCCATCGATCTCCAATCACAATCATGTCTACTTCTCTCCGCACAACCACCGCTGCTTCTCGTCTCAGTCGTCTCCTCCGCTCCTCCTCCTCTTCCATATCCACACTCGCTCTTTCCGCTTCCTTTCTCTCTATTTCGCCAGATCTATCGTCTCTTCTCCACTTCTTTATTATTCATCTCTCTCTCACAAATGCCTCACCCTCTCTTCTAAATCTTTACCGGAGAGCCGTCACGTTTCTCCTAAGGGATCTCCGTTCAAAATTGGGATTCCCAAGTTTGCGATCGTATTCGATGATAATAAGTTCACTCAGTTTTCGCCTCTTTATTCTACGATCCCCCCCCCCCCCACATCCTCCTCAGTTTCCGCCGTCGCGACATCAGAAGACTACTCTACCTTCTACTGCAACGATTGTGTCTCGAAATATATAGCTGCAAAATTACAAGACAACATCCTCTCAATCGAGTGTCTTGTCTCTGGTTGCAAGAGCTCTGGTCGGCTCGAGCCAGATAAGTGTCGTCAAATCTTGCCAAGAGAGGTTTTTGATCAGTGGGATGATGCTCTTTCTGAAGCAGTATTGATGCGTTCAAAGAGATTATATTGTCCTTATAAGGATTGCTCTGCTTTGCTTTTCATTGACAAGAGTGAAGTGAAGATGAAAGATTCGGAGTGTCCTCATTGCCATAGAATGGTGTGTGTAGAGTGTGGGACTAAGTGGCATCCGGAGATAACTTGCGAGGAGTTTCAGAAGCTAGCAGGGAACGAAAGAGGAAGAGATAATATTTTGCTCGCGACGATGGCAAAGAAAAAGAACTGGAAAAGATGTTATTCTTGCAAACTCTATATTGAGAAGTCTCAGGGTTGCTTATACATGAAATGCAGGTATATGTATATTCTTCTTCTTCTTATCACCTGTGATGCAAATTTGTGGAAATCGATTTCGTAGGTGGATGCTGTGTTGTCGTTGTTGGGTGGTTCTACTGAGCTTGCTCCTGGTCCGCATATGTTTCGAGAAGAAAGTAAGATACGGTGTTTGCCAAGAAATGGCCTTAAGGTCAGTGTATCATCAGTCTTGAGTTTTACCAACTTATGCCAAAAGCTGTTACAATCCCAATTAGTTAGCAGAAGATTTTAACCAGTTTCTTAGGCCTACGGAACCATTAGTATTGAGCTAGCTTTTGTTAAGTTGGATGTTAACAAAATACATGAGTAGTTAGTTTTAAATGTCACATTTGAAGAGGCTGGACATATTTCTTCCACATTTCCTGGGATCAAAAACATTGTAATCTTATATAGCTCCTTTTGGTGTTGAGAGATCCTACTGTGCTAAGGTTTGTGTTGTGGAATGGGAAACTGCTATGTTGCCATCTCTTTTGCTTCGTTAATGGATGCATAAATTGCTTGAAGAGATTTCTAGATGGCAAGGAGAGTTTAGATGATAGAACTAGGTGTAATACTTTTTGCTTGATTTTGGGTAGATGCAAAAAGATTAAATCATATGATTATGTTAGTGACTAATGCCCATGGCAACACATGACTTATGTTTTCGATTAAGCTTTTCATTTATATGTATCATATTGTATGCAATCGTTTATTTAGGTACAACTGGTATATTTAGGTACAACTACGTATAGGTACAACTGGTATATTTTGGTTTTGTAGTTTTGCTCTGTCAAAGATAGAGGATAAGTGGAAGGAAGAGCTTGATCAAGAACTGGAAAGAAAGCGCACAAGTTAAGTCTGCACGTACTTGTGGATTAAGATTGCACATGACTTATGTTTTTGTATTTCATTTTTGTATTTTGTTGTGTTGTGGATTAAGAACATATGACTTCGTATTTTTGTAAACCAAAATAATATTTAGATTATATTTATGTTCAATTGGTTTTGTAGGTACAACTAGTCTATTTAGGTACAACTATGTGTATGGATTACTTATAAGAAAGTACAACTAGATCACTTTGGTACAACTGAGACAATTAAAAATAACATTTAAAAAAAAATTTTTTAATAAATTTCAAAGAAGTAAAAAAAAAAAAAAATTATCCACATAAGCATCATTTTTGGCGGCGAGATATTATTTTTAATCCACGTAAGCATCATTTTGGCGGCGGGATATTATTTTTAAATCATCACACGTGTGGTAAATTGTTTTGCTTTAAACATAGTTGTACCTAGTTGTCTAGTTGTACTGTCATATTCATAGTTGGATTTTTGTGATTTTTGTGTATTTCCAGTTGGACTCTAATAAAAATTAGTAATTTCTAGTTGGACACATGATGTTACACTATTAATTATCGTTTAAGAGGTTTTCAGAATACAATTTGCACGAAATCATAATTTTCACCTCTTTTGCATCAAAAGAAGTGATCACCTACAAAGTGTTCCTTATACTATAAGGAGTGTTTCATATGAAAACAATAGTATGCACTAGGAAAATGATAAATTCGAGTTTTACTTATTTAAAATTATTTTTTTATAGTTCAACATGTTTTTAGAATCCTTATTAACTCTAATTTATCGTTTTCATAATTATTGAATACAAATACGGATACATTTATGATCTTAGTTGTACCTTATCGAACCTAATTATACCTAGTTGAACATAGTTGTATGAATACGATAAGTACATATACTGATACATATATGGTTATAGTTATGGTCTTAGTTGTATCCAGTATAGTTATGGTATTAGTTGTACCAGTCAAACCCAGTTGTACCCAGTCGAATATGGTTGTACGACAAATACAAAAGATTTTTAGTCATTTATCTTCCACAATATCATATATTTACTTTGAAATTAATATACTAATAATTTTAAAAATATAATCAGTAAAAGCTTTATATATGAAAATGCATGAGAAGCTTACAAATTTGATACTCAAAGTATAACGTCGTTAGCAATAATATAATAACCAAATTTATTCTCTCTATCTAACCAACATTTATAAAGTATTGGAAAATATTTCGTCACTTTGTAGAAACATAACAAAGTATTTGATATAACCCAAAAACATTCCAAATCTTGAGAATGGACAAATACTCAAATCTAAGCAAGAGCATGCATATCCTTGATCCATTGGTCCAATGACTTACCAATAGAGTAAACAATAAATCATATCTTCCCCAGCTTCTCTACATCAACAACATTTCTATACCATCAAAGACAAACGCTGGTTTCTGCATCTTTTCAAAAATCCTCTCATAGTCAAGCGTCTTACATTCATCCCACTCAATTAACAAGCAGATTCCATGGGCGTCTTTAGTGGCATCACAATTAAAAATCCAAAGACTGTGATGATCCATCTTGAGATCACATCTTTGACATGCATAAGGAAAATATGGATCGAGTAAAGCTTTCTTTCTCTATCACTAAAAAATGGTCACCATACAATGAGAATTTTCACTACTAAGCACAACATGGTAGCAAATCAGATTTTTCCTTACACACATTACAATGATGGCAACGAGGCAATTACAAGCAATGGAATTCAAGACTAAAGTATTTTTTGAGGTAATATTTGCCATAAGAACTCATGATTACAGAATTGACAGTTCTCGTTCCCAACATCGAATCCCACCACACTCATCTAAGCGAATCAACAAGAGATCTTAGATATAAAGTTATAAACGCATACTGAAATTCTTGCTCTTCGAAGAGAAATCAAATCAAACGAGAAGGACAAAAGATGAAGAAGACTATACAATGATCTGAAACTTCGAATCGTTTATGCAGGACATCCGGTGACTGAGAGAGCGTTGTCATCGTCGTCGGAGCGTTGTCGTCGTCGTCGGAGCGGTGGTGATTATTGTTGATATCCATCGGAAGATTGAGGAACTAAGAAAGAATCTCTAAGTTTTATAATGGCGTAAGAGAGAGGAGAACAAACCGATTGCGAGGGCGAGACGCCGGAGACAACGGCCGGCGAGATCGGCGGTGCGACCTCTAGTTTGGGAGGAGAGGATGCGAGCAAAAGTTTTTGTTCCTTTTTTTGTTTTCTTTTTCATTTTAGATTTTAAAAATTAATTAAATCAAAATATTTATTAAGGGCAAAATAGAAATAACACATTGGCACTCTCAGACTTGGCAGTCGTGATTTTCATTTCCTGTTCAGTGGCAAACAAGCCTTGGTCTCCACTAATTCACGAATTTCGTCAGTATCTTTTATTTCACTTAGGAAATTTTCTCACTCCGACCATCGAAGACGCTGTGATGACGACGACGAGGTCAAAATTTCAGTCTCTCTCAGCACGTCGCTTCACACCGTTACCGGAACCCAATCCCTCGCCGCGTACTTTCTCCAAAACTTTACCAGAACCCAATTCCTCTCCAGGAACCAACGGAACTTTCCGAACACCATTTCCCTTATCACTCATCACTCCAATCAAAACCCTAAAATCCATCACATTATCCGATTGGTGGCTAAAAAAGAAAAGCAAAGGTCTAAGTATCACAGGATTCGAATCAAACGGTGGATCTGGAGTGAGACTATTTTCATCAGGAACAATCTCAAAACGACATGAAAGTACCACTCTTGAAGCAATTGATGGGATTACAATTTCTATCAATGGATTCATCAATCGATCTCGTAGTCTAGAGAACGGTGTTTCGAATGAGGTTTGTAATCGTTTTCGTTTAGGGTTTCCTTATGATTGGGAAGATTACAATGTAGAAGAAGAAGAAGAGAAGAAGAATGTTGTTGATATTTCGTTTGATGATATTCCAGTGAATAGGTATCAGGATCTTTATTGTCTTGAGGGTTGTTTGAAAGATAAGATTTTGGATGATGTTGTTAGTAGTTTAAGAGATTTGGTTTGTCAGATATTTGATAAGGAATGTGAGAAATCAAGAATTGGTGGTGATGATGGTGAGAGTTTGGTTTCGAGGGTTGTGGGAGTGAAGACTAGAGGTATGCTTAGACGGAGAGAAGAGTATGAAGCTTCTATCGGGAAAGGAGTTGCGACGATCTCTGGTGAAAGAGCTGTGACAACGTCGAAGAAGAAGAAGAGATGACTACAATGGAGAATGTTGGTATGGATTTGAGATTTTGTTAGACGATGTTTGGGTGAGTAGGTTTATAGGATCTTATTCTTTTAGAAGATTGTTTGAAAAGTAGGATTTTGGATGATGTTGTTGAGAGTTTAAGAGATTTGGTTTGTCTGAAATGTGAGAAATCAAGAATTGGTGATGATGAGAGTTTGATTTCAAGAGTTATGGGAGTGAGGACTGGAGGTATGCTTAGACGGAGAGAAGAGTATGCTTCCATTGGAAAAAGAGTTTCGACAATGTCGAAGAAGAAGATATGAACTTTCTACTGAATTTAGCTTCAATGAAAAGTTTGGCTTTTTGGCACTAATGGATATAAGAATGTGTATAGAGATCCAAATATGGATACAACCCAAATTTCTTAACCTAAGGGTCCGAATGGTAACTGCGTTTTGCGGTACGGGAGAAGTGCGGTATTATAGTGCGGTACGGTTCAACTGTGGGACGTGCGGTATGCGGAACAAATGCGGTTTTTAGAAATAAGCGGTATAGCATAATGTTTGATTGGTAAAAAAAACGCGGTGCGGAATACAGATTATAGTTAAATAATTTTTAAAAGTATATTAATAATATTAATATAATTATAAATTAAACATTTATATATATATATATTAGTATCATCATAAATTAAACATTTATATATATATATATATATATAAATATATTTTTTTTGGTAATTAAACATTTTTATATATATATATATATATTAGTATAATCATAAATTAAACATTCACATAAATTAAACATTCAGTTTCTTTTTGGTAGGATAATTTAAAAATTCTTAATCATAAATTTAAAAGTTTTCAATTTAATTTGCTGAAAAAAAAAAACACAATTTAATGTGTCTCTTAACATTCTTGATTATCCCTTCTATTTAATGTGTTTAATTAATGAGTTATTTTGTGTTAAAATTTTCCTTAATAAGCGTGCTTTTAGCCCAAAAATTCTATATTTTGGAAAAGAGGGAGTATTAGAGAAGGAGAATATTTTTTCCTACCAAACAAAAAGAAGGAGAATGACTTTCATAATAATTTTATAACTTAAAAAAAAAAAATTGTGATAATCACGATGAGAGTGTGTGTTTTATTTTTCATTCGTATTATTGATGTTATACCTTCTGACTTTGACTCACAAGTTAATAAAGTTACCTAAGGCATTTCTCATCAAACACAAAAGCAATGTTTGTGTTAAAAAAAAAACCAAAAAAAAAATGTATTATTTTGTTAGGTGCGGTTTTTGATAAAACCGCTGGGTAAAGCCTTCTTTTTATTTCTAACAGCGGTCCACTGTATTACCCGTTGGACAAAACCGCAAATTCCTTTTTTTTTTTTTTTTTTTTTTTTAAACACAAATCTGTCAGAAAAAGTATGATTGGTGAGTACACTGCGGTTTTGTGGAAAAAATTAGAAAAACGCCTTTTTTTGTGTCCACCATTCGGACCCTAAGATTGTAATTCATGTTCTTCCTTGACTACACATCCTTCTATGTCTACTTGGACCTTTTTAAACAGGTTATGCAACGTTAGTTTGGACCTGACTAAAAAACATATTTCCCTAAAGATTAAGTAAAGCTGTGTCAACATTAGGGTATATAGGATTCTATATTCCATGCACACACAAACTATACTGTCTACAATTTCACAATTGTCATATATCACTGAAAAAAGTATTTTATAATTTGAATATAAGAAATGCAGATAAGAAACAAATGTCACATTTCTCTATTATTATTGGTCTTTATCTATTTAGTTATTGTCAAAGGGTCATATCCTAAAAATGTGGTTGATCAAAGGATTCACCAAAATACTCGGACATGTCCACTACACACGGACAAAGGCTCTTCTCTCTTCTTTGTCTGATCTTGAAACTCTCAAGTTCTAAATTTTACACCTACATCACGTTAATGACTTGGCCATGTTTGAGCTTTCTTCTTCTTCTTCTTCTTCCTTAGTACAGCAAAAAAGATGTTGCAGAGAGCAGCGAGCAATGCGTATTCATGGTGGTGGGCAAGTCATATCCGTACAAAGCAATCCAAATGGCTCGAACACAATCTTCAGGGTACGTTTCTTGATTCACATTTCACCTAATAATAATGTTCTTGATTCTATGTGCCATGCAAATAAATAGAGATGCTTAAACAAAGAATTTATTTGATGTTGTAGATATGGAAGAGAAGGTAGAATATACACTTAAGATCATAGATGAAGATGGAGACACTTTTGCTAAAAGAGCTGAGATGTATTACCGTAAAAGGCCGGAGATTGTTAATTTCGTGGAGGAAGCTTTTCGGTCATACCGTGCCTTAGCTGAACGTTATGATCATTTATCTAGAGAGCTTCAAAGCGCAAACCGCACAATCGCCACAGCTTTCCCTGAACATGTTCAGTTTCCTTTGGAGGATGATAGTGATGAAAATGAAGATTATGAAGGGAATCCGCGTAAACCGCCTAAGCATCTTCATCTTATTCCCAAGGGAATCAACATACCTGAAGTTCCGGATATTCCAAAGAAGAAAGATTTCAGGAGTCAGTCTATGATGTTGTCTAGAAAAGGACCAGCTGGTCTGAAAAGGACAGTATCTTCTGCACAAGCAAAGAGGGAAGCGGCGATTGTGCGTTCGGGATTGAGTAAAGAAGAGGGTTTGGAAGAGATTGATAAGCTTCAGAAGGGGATCTTGGCGTTGCAGACCGAGAAAGAGTTTGTGAGGAGCTCATATGAACAGTCTTATGAGAGGTATTGGGATTTGGAGAATGAAGTGACTGAGATGCAGAAGAGCGTTTGTAACTTACAAGATGAGTTTGGTCTTGGTGCTTCGATTGATGATAGCGATGCTAGGACCTTGATGGCGAGCACTGCGTTGAGTTCTTGTAAGGACACACTTGCTAAGCTTGAGGAGAAACAGAGGAAATCGGTTGAAGAAGCGGAAATTGAGAAAGGAAGGATTACTACTGCGAAAGAACGGTTTTATGCATTGAGGAACAAGTTTGAGAAACCGGAAAGTGATGTTCTTGATGAGGTTGTTAGGACAGACGAAGAAGAAGAGAAAGAGGCTGATGATGTGGTTCAAGAATCGATCTATGAATCCGAGAGGGAAGATTCAAGTGAGAATCTTACTGTTGTGAAACTTGCAGAGAAGATTGATGATCTTGTGCATAGGGTGGTTTCATTGGAGACCAATGCTTCCTCTCATACTGCATTGGTGAAGACATTAAGATCAGAGACAGATGAGTTACATGAACATATTCGTGGTCTAGAGGAGGACAAAGCGGCTCTTGTTTCGGATTCCACGGTTATGAAACAGAGGATCACGGTGCTTGAAGACGAGCTGAGAAATGTTAGAAAACTATTCCAGAAAGTGGAAGATCAAAACAAGAATCTACAGAGCCAATTCAAGGTAGCTAATAGGACTGTTGATGATTTATCTGGTAAGATACAAGATGTGAAGATGGATGAAGATGTTGAAGGAGCTGGAATTTTCCAGGAATTGGCAGTTGTTTCAGGATCAGAAGATTCACGCGATGATTTGAAGTCAATCTCAACGGAGACGGAAATGAGGAGTAGCGTGGAGAAAACGAAGAAAGATGTGATTGTAGTTAAAGAGAGTGAAGACAGTGAAAGAGCTCAAGAAGAGAAATCAGAGATGAAAGATTCGTTTGCGTTATCAGAAACTGCTAGCACTTGTTTCGGAACAGAAGCAGAAGATCTGGTGACGGAAGACGAGGATGAAGAGACACCAAACTGGAGGCAGTTGTTACCTGATGGCATGGAGGATAGAGAGAAGGTTCTGTTAGATGAATACACATCAGTGTTAAGGGATTATAGAGAAGTAAAGAGAAAGTTAGGTGACGTTGAGAAAAAGAACCGGGAAGGATTCTTCGAGTTAGCATTACAGTTGAGAGAACTCAAGAATGCTGTTGCTTACAAAGACGCAGAGATTCAGTCGTTACGCCAAAAACTCAGCTCGCCCGGGAAAGATTCGCCACACCAAGTAGAACGAAATAATCAGTTGGAACATGAACAAGTACATCATGAAAGTGTGAGCATTTCACCAACTTCCAACTTTTCGGTTTCCACTACGCCGCATCATCAATTGGGAGACATGAAGAGAACACCTGGAAGAACAAAGTCAACTGAGGTTAGGGTGAAATTTGCAGACGTTGATGACAGCCCAAGAACAAAGATTCCAACTGTGGAAGACAAAGTGCGTGCAGACATTGACGCGGTGTTGGAAGAGAATCTCGAGTTTTGGTTAAGATTTAGCACATCAGTACATCAGATACAGAAGTACCAAACAACGGTTCAGGATCTCAAATCAGAGCTATCGAAACTGAGAATCGAAAGCAAGCAACAACATGAATCTCCAAGAAGTAGTAGTAATACTGCAGTTGCATCAGAGGCCAAGCCTATCTATAGACACCTTAGAGAGATCCGAACAGAACTACAGCTATGGCTAGAGAACAGCGCGGTTCTTAAAGACGAACTCCAGGGAAGGTATGCATCACTAGCTAATATCCAAGAAGAAATCGCAAGAGTCACGGCTCAATCAGGTGGCAATAAAGTAAGTGATTCAGAGATTAGTGGTTACCAAGCTGCAAAGTTCCATGGAGAGATACTTAACATGAAACAGGAAAACAAAAGGGTCTCAACCGAACTTCAATCAGGTCTTGATCGTGTAAGAGCATTAAAAACTGAAGTGGAGAAGATTCTGAGTAAACTAGAAGAGGATCTTGGGATCTCAAGTGCAACAGAAGCAAGAACAACTCAGAGCAAGAGCTCATCGAGTGGAAGACCGAGGATTCCATTACGGTCATTCTTGTTCGGTGTCAAGTTAAAGAAGAATAGACAACAGAAGCAATCTTCATCATCTCTCTTCTCTTGTGTCAGTCCATCTCCAGGTCTGCAAAAACAGTCTAGTTACAATAGACCACCTGGAAAGCTCCCTGAATAATCAATCAATCGATCATCTCTTTGTTATTTGCCTTTTCAATTCCTTGTTTTCTAGCTTTTACGTCGTGTACCTGTGGAAGAACTAATGAGATACAAATCAAAGTGAATGTTCTTGCTTTCACTGTTTTCTAAACTTTGAAATTGGCTTTATAGATTTCGAAGTATATTTAAATTCATATTACTAATTAGTAGTAAGAACCTTATATTTGGAGGTCCTACTGTACATCATCATATTATTGTCCCGAGTCCTAAGAAAAACACATTAATGAAAGCTCAAAAACAATGCAGTAAATGAACTAGAACTACAACTCCTTCTGCCCGGTCCCGGTCATGGTCGCTTCATCTTTGGGTTTTGATTCAGTTGCAGCTTCAGCTAGAGGTGACACCGTGGTACTACTTTCTATCTCAGGTGGTTTATCCAACAAACTTTTATCGGCGCAACTGCCAACTACTTGATTTTTCTTAGGCATAAGACTAGGAGGAGTCTCCACTTTAGCACCCACCACTCTTGCTGTGCTAATCACTGAATTTGCTGGGATGGTTTTATTTGGCGGAAGTGTTGTTGTAACCATGGGGCTTGCTCTGTTTCCCTGAGTTTGCACTTTTTGTACACCAACCGGCTTGGAAGAGACGGTAACTGCTGCTCCCACACTTGGCTTTCGTGGCTTTATAACAGTAGCTGCGGCTACCACACTTGGCTTTTGTGGCATAACAGTAGCTGCAGGAACTCTCTGTGTGGGAACCAACCTTGACGATGCAAAACTAGGAGGAACTAAATTATTCGGGATTGTAGACCCTTTGGAGAGAGGAGCCATAAGTGAAGGCTTATTAAATGGTGATGAAGATATTGTGTGGTTTGGGCTTCCATTAACTGCATGCCTTAAATTCAAAGGTCCAACCGCTTTAGTGTTAGTGGCAGCAGCCGGAACACTCTTTACTGGGTCAGCCTTTGGTGCTGAAAGAATACTTGATGGACGAGGCAAAGAGGCTACAGAAGCGGTTTTTACAGGCTCAGCAGTTGGTGCTGATATAATACCTGATGGACGAGGCAAAGAGGCTACAGAAGCGGCGGTTTTTGCAGGCTCGGCCTTTGGTGCTTGTATAATACCTGATGGACGAGGTGAAGGAGCTGCAGAAGCGGCGGTTTTTACAAGCTCAGCCTTTGGTGCTGATATACTACCTGATGGACGAGGCAAAGAGGGTGCAGAGGCGGTGGTTTTTACAGGCTCAGCCTTTGGTGCTAATATAATACCTGATGGACGAGGCAAAGAGGCTGCAGAAGCGGCGGTTTTTACAGGCGCAGCCTTTGGTGCTGATATAATCCCTGATGGACGAGGCAAAGAGGCTGCCACAGCATTTTTTACAGGCTCAGCATTCAGTGCTGATGATATACCTGAAGGGCGAGGCAAAGAGGCTGAGGAAGCGGTTTTTACGGGTTCAGCCTTCGGCACCAACTCTGAAATAGCATTCTTTCCTGGTTCAATCTTAGGCACTGTTACAGCGGTTGCCAGGCCAGACATACAGGCTGCAGCAGCTACTGAATTAGCTGTTACCATTAGTTCCACTTTCGAAGTGGAATTCCCTGTTGTTTTCTTTGCAGGAACTCGAGATTTTGCACCTGGCGCTGATGTTGTTGCCCGTGGCAATGCTTGAATTTGTGGCTGAGACAGTTGTTGACGTTGCAATGTACTACCACTGTTGGCACCATTGGCTTGTGCCCCCTTGATGGTACCGGATGAAAGCATTGGAGTTATACCTACAAACACAGTCACATTGATAAATCTAATTAAGATAAGCGTTGGGACTAACACAATTTCAACTTTGCAAGAAAAAAACAATCTAAACAAGTATAACATAGCCTAGAAGAACTAATAAATAGTAAAATAAGCTAGATAGGATCTTCTGTTACTCGTACCTACTGCAAGTTTTTTTGAGGGAAGCCGATTTCCCACCGCTAAAGATACTGCACGATTAGCCATTTGTGCTTCTGTTCGCTGTAGGCCAGTTTGGTTAGAAGTGTTTGAAGTATCAATCCTTCTCCTTATAGCCCCCCACCGCTGCAAATAAGAATATTCAGCCCGATTACAGATGTATGCTAAATAAGCATCACAGATGCCCATACAATTTTGTCCCCAGATATTTCTTAACACTACTTACAGAGTATACCTGGTAACATCAGAAATAGCTGACCAAAAAATATCCACAAAAATGGTGGACAGAGAAGATTATTGCCTACAGCAGCTGAAATCTACGTTTTCTGAGAGATTATTAATCATAACATTTAGAGATCCGTTGCCGGGATTTGAACCCGGGAAAATGGGGGAAAACCCACATCAAGACCAAACTAGATGACAACGGATATATTTCTAAAGCAATGACCACAATTCTGTTGATAGCATTCGATAAAGAAGAGTGTGATAATGCAACCTAGTTGCATCTAGACAAAGTATGACATATATGGTGTAAAAGCTTAAGAGTATAAGGAGCTCATGAAGTTATGTTTCATAGGGTCTACTAAGGTTCATCTCTTCTAAGCAAACACTCAGATAATGGTAGATAAGCAGGTAGTAATACCAAGAACAAGGCACTAACTGAAAAATATGACGAAGGCACTGCAATATTAACAACAGAGCAAACCATCACCCCTCATGCCTAGTTGCTATACACTCCAAATCCTAGATCATACTCGTTTTTTTTTTTTTGTAGAGCAATTAGAGCTCACATTCCTTTACTGTAATCATGTGACTACGAAATAGCTCTCTGCGTGATGGTTAAGAAAGACCATGCATATGACACACAGAGCAATAAATAGGAGAGAATGCATAAACTACATACAAACGCTTATGCTGAGACGAGATGATGCACAATGTACTTGAAGAAAATTCAAAGATATGAGGAAAATGAGGAATGAATATCAGCCCAATGAAATTAAAACCTGTGAGAGTTGTGAGGTTGTTCGCTCTCCTTCAAATGCTTCCTTAGAGATAAGGGCCCAGCTGCCTTCACCATGTTGCTTCACAGCAGCAATCAGCTCCTCATCCTCCTCAGCTGACCATTTTTTTCTTCTCTTCCGAGGAGCCAAGCTACTGGCTAACCCATTTCCATTATGTCCTTCAGCTGCTTTCGGTAGAAAAACAGGAAAGGTGATATTCATCCCTCTTGCTGACCAATACGAGTCTGATGGTTCCTGAGTCCCCCTATGCAGGCCGTAAGGTATGTTAATGGTCAAGGGAGCCTCAACCATTGAGTCTTCGGGAATATCGGACTCACTTGGCACATAGGAAGCAGCCATCACCTAAAAAAGGATAAAAAACAGGAAACTTAGCATATCATTAGGAACTCGGGATAAGCAGACATCAATACCCAAGAGTAGTAGCCACCACTTAAGGATCGCCTATACACTAACCGAGATTGTCACAGCGAAAAAGGACTTATGAAGCAAAACTATAGAGAACCATCTCTTCTCTGGAAACTGAACAAAGACTTCAAGAGGAAAAAAGAAGAATCTAAGAAAATTTCTCAGTGAATTCCTTCTCACTTACTTTCACATGCGCAACAGCTTCCGTTACTACATCAACACCGACTGCAGGGGAAGCTTCCAATTCACACTCCATATCACTATCATCATCCTGCACAAGCAAGAGTTCATTAAAATTTGCAAAATTACGTCTTGTAATGCAACAGCTATCACATGATACATAAAATTCATTCCACCTTAAACCTAAATTCTTTTCACCAAGAAGTTTCACTATCCACCGGCATTAAATCAAAACAACAGAACTTTCCCTCTACACAACACTATTGAAAACAATAGTCACTCATCAGATGCTATCTCCTATGCAACACGAAAGAATCCCCAAAAACAAAAAGTTTGCGTCCATTGTGAATAACAAGAAACAAAACTAGCAAACAAGGTTCCGTCTTCCATCCATACATCCAGACAGAAACAACATTTCAAGAAACTGGAACAATACCCTAATTGGAAAACACTCTGATGCAAAATTGAATTTTCTAACAAGATCAATGTACATGGCAAATGAAAAGCACAATTCTTTGAACTTAATGCAAACAATTAGACATTAAAACGAACCAGAAGCCGAGCATTATTTTCAACAGGGACTAGAGAATCTCTATAAGCAAGATGCCGCCATACAACTGATACTCTCTAGCATTAGTAATTCCAGTACTTGTCTTCTTCACTAACTCATTCCAATCCATCTTTGTATCTGCATAATACGCCATTTCTTGTAGCAACTTCAATATCGTTATAGTATCATATCTGCAAACAAAAACGAGGTAAAAATCACACGCCGCCACAAATTATGAGAGATGAAATCGAAGAAACAAAAACCTCTGCAAAAGAGTGGCGATGTCTGCTTCACTGATGAACACTTTCCTCTTCTTGTTGTTACTGTTATCAACCATTGTTTGTTCGTGGTTTGTAACAGCAATCACATGTTACGATTGAGCCAAATCTGGTGGCGGTTTCAGTGACAAACCCTAATTAGGATTTTGAGATTGAGAGTGAGACACTGGGGAATTGTTCTAGGGATAGGAGACGGTGGAGACAATTGTTACCGGAGATGGAGAAGGTAATCGATGCGATGATCGGAGAGAGGAGGAGAGTGTGGAAGCGCGTGGAGAGCACGCGTGCGGCTTTGGTTTTTTTTTTTTTTGTGTGAAGAGGAAAAAAAAAAGCGACGGAGGAGGAGGAACGGTTGCAGTCACGCTCGCCGCTTGACTAGAGATATTAGAATCTTCTAAGATTTTTTAATGACCGATTTGCCCCTCCGATTTAAGTTTTCTTTTTCTTTTCTCGACATATGGATTCTACGGTGTGATTGGTCGAGTTCTTATTTTTCAAATTAATTTTCAATAAATAGGTATTAAATAAAGGAAAATAAAATTTAAAAAAAAAAACAACTTAAGAATGTCAGAGTAGTATCTTCAGGTAATTTAATTTTTAAATAGCAACTGTGTTCTTTTATTAATCCAACATCTTTAACTAATTTGAATAGCATATTAAAGAGTTTTTCTATTTTGGTATTATAATTTAAAATTACATCATATATTTCGAACATATAAAGCTTGTGTAGTTTACAAGATGTGTAGTTTGGTTGGATTGTTGTTTTTGAAACTTAAAAGGTTGGTAGGATTCTTGTCTCCTTTATGGTCATGTTCGTTTCATAGTCGCCAACAATTGTGACTGTGACTGTAATTTTAAAATCGCGGGATGTTGTTCATTTAATAATCGCGCGACTGGTCGCTGTGACTAATCGCCATATAAAAATTTTTGTGTGACTATGTTACGACTATTGTCTATTAGTCGTAACGTAGTCGTTAAATAGCGACTAATTTTACGACTATAAAATTTAACGACTATGTATTACCGACTACATTTTATGGTCGTAATGTAGTCGTAAATTCTATTTTAACGACTATTTTACGACTAACTCTGCAGTCGTAAAAACCCTGTTTTCTTGATATTTAAGAGTTATAAAGAGTAAAAAAAAAGTTTAAGAGTTACTCAATACAAGATATTTAGCTAGATAGACTACGATCCCATAGAACACAAACTGGTGATTGTTTATGCAATTAAATATATTGAATTGTTAACATGAGGTTATAAATTTCATGGTCTACACGATTAACACATCATAAGGATTCACGAAAAAAACTGAGCAAAAATGTTGGTTGAGTCAAAAATGTGGAGTTTTGGTTAATATTTTTCGTAAGAAATGTATTCACTTAGACTATTAATTCAGAACATTTTTAATTATTTTTATAAATTATTAATCTTCTTTGAATATTGGAAAATATTAAAGAGTAAAAGGGAAGAAAAGGTAATAAGAAAAAATTGAGTGGAGGCAGTGGAACGTATTGGTGGGGCAACATTGATCTTTTTAAAACAAGGGAGACTTAGCGCAGAAGTAAAAATAGAACCTCTAATTTGCGAATCGGTAAATGTCAGTTGTGTCTCAGACAAAAGAAAAAAGATTGTTACTAATGGCCCTCCGTTTTAAAATAATTACGGAAAACCCATGTGCTTACACAGCTATGCGAGTGGGATAAGGGTCTTGACTTTTTTGGCAAAAAAGAATGATATGACATATATTAAATTTTCTGTTGTATAAATGACCATTACGCGGCAACAGAACGAAGGAGGAACATTAATTATTGTGTTTTTATAAAATTGAGGAAATTTTAGCACTCTACAAATATATATTATAAGATTTTGATATTTGTAAACATCTAAACACACATATATATATATATATATATATATATATATCTTATTATATAAAGTATGGTTTTCAAAGTTAGTAATTATCGATCTCAAATTTTGACATATGTTAAACAAAAATTTCTTTTTATTTATTTAGAAAAATATAAGGAAACTATACGCACATATCAAATTTATCAACGTGTAAAACCAAAAAAAAATATTTGTTTAGAAAAAAAATTATAAAGAAATTATACGTATATATCTTATATGAAACAATTCTAAAAATCTAAAGAAGATAATATAAAAAAACTAGATGTATCTTACGAAATAAAAATAAAAATTTAAGAAAAAAAATTATAAGGCAACTATACATATATATATATACTAGATTTTAACCCGCGGTACACCGCGGGGCTATATTTTCTTAAAAAAATCAAAATGTAATTTGTTTGATAGATTATTTTGATTGTTAATTTTAGGATTTCACCCGTGGTATACTATCTTTTATAAATATCAACCCAAACCCGTCCCATCATATTACCCGTCCCGTGAAATTAAACATCATTTTGTTATTTTTCTTTTTAATAATACTTTTATTTAAAAGCTATATAATTCAAGTCAATTTAAAAATTTCTTTTAAATGGTTCCCATAAGATATATATACATATATATTAAATTTGTATAGAATTGAAATAATATTAATATTACAAACTTTTTATATAATTTAAATATTATAAATATTTTTAAAAATATGCAATATATATTTTTTGTTATTGAATAAGAGGATATTATGTGTAAGAAATGTAGAAAATAAGAGTTTAATATTTTTATTATGGAGTCGCAAGAAAAATCTTTTATTTCTATACATGTTATTCGTTTATTAATAATAAAAGAAAACAAATCCTTTAAATTAGATATTAACTAAAATAAACGCACCATAATTACTTATTAAGTAACAACCAATAAATTTCACCAAAAAATAGGTAACAACCAATAAATTCTAAACGCAGTAATTAAAGAATGAGATATTAAAAAAAATATCAAATAAGATATAAGAATCTTAAAATAATTGAATATCTAAATAATTTAATTGTTAGTGTCGATTTTAATGCCTTCATTAATGTGGATTTTTTTTTTTACAGAGAAATATTTCCTAAAAATTATCACATTAATGACTCAGAAAATTAAGGAAGATATGAATTTATGATTCTCGAAATCGTGTTGGTAATATCTTTAATTAATATTTTTCAAATTTAAATAATTAATGCCAATGGCATTCATCCGTAAATACATTCCAACTCCAGGATTTATTTGCTAAAAGTCATCCAAAAATGTATATATAGATATCTTATAAAAAACAATTTTTAAGAAGTAAAGAAGATAATTATAAGGAAACTACATGTATCTTATTAAATAGGAAAAAAAGAAATTAAAAATATTTACTAATTCTAATTTAAAGATACTAATTCTAAAAGAAAAATATTACTTTTCCTTAAAATTAAAAAAGATTTATGAAATTATACAGTCTTCTTATATAATATGATAATTAAAAAAAATTTACAATCAATTATTAATCCTAGAAGAAAAAGATTCTAAATTCTAAATACTCATTTTTATAGATAAACAAATAGATAGATAGATAAATTAAGCATATATGGCGATTGATGCAAATTAAGAATTATGAACGGCGATAGACATAAAATAGATTTGTTGTCGAAGAAGCTCGACCCGATGTTAAAGGAGATAAAGAAGGTGGAGAAATAAGAGCAGTTGGAGAAAAAGGGGATGATACAGTAACGGTGGTGTTGTTGTTGATGACGGTGGTTCAATCTTGGTGGTGGTGGTGGCGGTAAATGTTGATGAAGGTGGTGGGTCGGAATTAGCGAGATTTAGTATTGATGGTGATGATGATTGTGATAGTTGTGAGATTCAGTTGTGTTGGTGGTCTGGTGGGTCGGAGTAGTGAGACTAGGTGCTGATGCCTGACGAAAGAGAGAAATAGTGATATGGAAGAAAAAAAACATTGTGGTAAAGAAATCAAACGAGAGGGAGATAAATAAAAAGAAAGAGGAGATCGAGCAAAAATATATAAGAGAAATCTAATGAGAGAAAAAGAGAGATTTGAGACTTGACGCCGACGAGAAAAAGAGACAACAAATAACTCATAAGTAATATGGACCAAAAATTGACAAAAAACATATAGCAAATAGACATTGTTTAATATTATTTTCTTAATTCTTTTTTAATCTTAGGTTATTTAGTGCATATTCCCTAATTCCTTATGAATTTGTCTTTTTGTTTTGAGAATTTTTCACATTATTAAGTAAAGTTACATGATGTGGTTATAGACTGTCTCATATTTTCTCTTTTCGTATTGTCACAATTTTATTATGATGCCAAACTTTTTAAAAAAAAATTCATATGTTTACGTAACTCAGACCATATATATACAAAATATATATATCGTTTATATGTTTAAGTAAATATATAATTTTTTTTTTTATTGTTACAATTTTGTTTCCATCTTGCCCACATTGAAATTAGAAAGTGTTATACACATTTTCGATGGATGTAGATAATTTATTAAAATTCAATAATACACATATAAACATTTATAAAATATCATTATGTAACATATAATAAACAAAACTACAAATAGCATTTTATATTGCATATTATGCATGATTAATATATATTTAAAAATAATTAAAATACTATATTTTCAAAATTAAAACTTTTTTATATAATTTTAGTTAAACTTATTAAAATGAAAATTAAAAATGACAATTTCGACCAATAACCCGTGCAATGCACGGGTCTATATCTAGTTTAGATATATAGAACGTTATTAATATTTATGTACATGTAAAAATGTACATTAAGCATTATTAACATTTGTATATATATAAACACACACACATATATATATATATATATATATATAGCTTTTTTAACATTTGTATACATGTAAACATGTACATTAAGCATTATTAACATTTGTATACATATAAACACACACATATATATATATATATAGCGTTATTAACATTTACATACATGTAAACACATATATAGAGCGTTATTAACATTTATGGACTTGCTTCAAACATAATTACAACCATTGTAACCCAAACTGTTGCAGAGAACAAGTGTAATAGTGCATCGTAATTGGACACTTAAATATCATAAGTTTCGTCGGATTTTAGATTGATTTTCACCGGTTTTCATCGAGTTGTCACCAGATCTATACCGTATTTTGCCGAATTGGCACTGACTCTTCACCGGATTCGGTCGATTTGTCACCGGATCTTTATCATATTTTGTCAAATTTTTACCGGAACTTATATAGATTCATCATACTGAAATTAAAGTACGGATTGTCTCTATATATCCTTAACCAATTCTTCTTTGTTCGAAAAGATAGGTTCGAATTATTTATGGTCTTATAAAATAAATATATTTTAATCGGATATTATGACAAAGAAGACAAATATATATATATATATATATATATATATATATATATATATATATATATATATATAAATCTACAAATTTTGTTGGATATCTACAACATATTGATGATGAACATAAGAGAAAAATCAAAAACTGAGCGAGTGAGGCTAAAATCGAAAAAAGAGTGGGCTAATGTTACCATTGCTTTGGGTCCCGACAAGAATTTACCAAAAACTAATTATACCTCAGATCTTTACCTCCCACCTAATCTATACTAGTATTTTCGCAACACTTTGGTGACGGGTGGGTAAAAATGCTTCTGGGTTAATCGGATATCCGATCCGTTTTTTAAATTCCTTCACAAAAAAATTTGTTGGGTCGGGTTTTATTTAACCCACCTCATACACAGGATATTCCATATTTAATAATTTAGATATTTAGAAGATTTGATTAAGATTTAGAATTATGATTCTCTTATCAACTTTGTTTGATTTGTTTTTAACTGTTTTGAATCATTAAATAATACATAAAGTAGAAAAAAAAATCAATATTTTTTTTTCTGCATATACTGTGATTCGAAATTAAAAAAAACAGACATATATTATCCAATTGACGAAAATGTGTGTTCAACGTTCTACATCGATTAAAATATTTAGACAATGATTCAGAATCATATCATAAATAAGATCAACATTAATAAAATAAATGAGTTTTTTGGCGGAACGGGTTTGGCGGAACGGGTTTTTGAATCAACAATAATAAAAAGATTAAATATCATTAATCTGCCGCTTCAATACGGATTAAATCCTTTTTTTAATACCACCAATATTAGACATATTAAATTAGTCTCATTTAGAAAAGATTGTATAAAACCAAAAATTGTCCTGTGGTATAATGTTACTTAATAACAGTTGTAAACTATAAAATATAAATATCTTGATAAAATTTGCAAACTTTTATATATAATAAATAATCGTTAAATTTTAAAAATTACTACTTTTAGAAAACAAATCACGGGACGGGTTAAGAAGTTATAGGACGGGTTATATTTTGGAACGAAGTTATATGGTGGACGAGTTTGAATCAATATTTATAAAATTTTAAATATCGTTAACATGCCGTTTTAATACAGATTAAATCTTCAGTTTATGAAAATATAAATGTCTTAGAGATTGATATGATTTATAAACTCTTATATATAATAAATAACCATTAAATTTTAAAATAAAAACAAATAACGGGACGGGTTAAGAAATTACGGAACGGATTATTTTTTCGGAATGGGTTTATATGGCGGATGAATTTGAATTTATATTTATAAATATTATTAATATGCCGCTTCAATACGGGTTAAATCCTTAGTTTATTAACAATTGTCTCGTGGACTCGTGGTATACCGTTACTTAATAATAATTATAAACTATAATATAAATAATTATTTTATAAGGAGATAAAATTTACAAAATATTTTTATATTAACTTTAAAAATAAATCATCCCGCGATGTACCGCGGGTTAAAATCTAGTTAACTCTTAAAACAAATTACTCCATTTACCACACAGAACAAAATATTTAAAAAATTTACCATATTTTTTCTCTGTAATTTGTCCACTCCCATCTTCGACAAATAGTCAAATACAATCAGTTTAGTGTATGTATGTTTGTTTTTATAAGGGAATTCAATCAATGTTTTACAATCAGAAATTTAAAATCTATTAATACTTCATTAATTTATCGCGAGATTTTCTTTTGGTTAAATTTTACTGAGTTATAATAACTAAAAACCAACTTTCTTTTTTAACTCAAAAAATTTTATCTTATCTCCTATATGAGATTTTTATTGGCTCGTCCTAGATAGGTCAACAAATATGGTTACACACCAATTTAAGAAGTTTTAATTGCTTTCTAATTCAAATTTATTAACAATTAATGGATTGACTATATGAATTGCTTTCTAATTCAAATTTATTATTTCGACCGAAGTGGGATTCTTAACATTTTTTATCTAATATTTTCTCTTGTATTCAAATTAGTAGACACTAATCTTACTAGACATCTATATATTTATCTTAAGATATATATTTTATAAATTTCAAAAAAAAGAAAGAAGATATATCTTTTATGGGCAAACATGATCTCTTCAAAGAGCACCAAGTCAACACAAACCATATTGTAAGTTGCATACTATCTATAAGAACTTTTCAAGTCAATCAAGTCAAGGCGTGTAGAGTACGGTTAATCATCCTATTTGCCAACGACATATTTACTTAGAGAAACTTTGGAATAATTGAATCCATTTAACATTTTATATAAATAACTCACCTAGCTAGTCTTTGTATCACATATCCTTCCACTTCAAAACAACTCACAATTATTATCAAGAAACACCAAAAAAGAAAAGAAAAAGAGCTTAGTATCAAAATGAAAGCGAGATCAACTAAAGGAGGCTTGGTTGCAATATTGGCTATAGTTGTTTATTGCTTCTTCGAGAATATGGGTGAGCCAAAGTTTCTTCTCATGCAAATATGTGATTATGTGGTAATTACATGTATCTTATAAAGTTTTCACTACAAAAAAAGTGAGCATTGATAGCAGTCCACTATAGCACGGTTTCACTAATTGCTATGAACGATTGATTTGGGATTTTGATTACATGTAATAGCATTTAATCAACGCTATAATAAAAAATTAATAAGTGAGAAGCTGAAAACCCTTTTTCCGCTAATACTTACCCAAAAAATTTAGAAAGCCGCCAACACTTAGAAAGTTTTTTTATCTTTTCTCAAAAACCTAAAAGAAATCTTTCAGACTCACTCACTCACGATTCACACGAAACTCGTCGCTTCCACCGTCGAAGCGTTGCAGCCTCTTCTCCTCCCTCTGTCCTCGCCGTCTCCGCCACTATAGCTGAATGTCTCTCCCCTCCTCCTCCTCCAGCTCCTATTCTCCCGAACCAACTCACCTAAACCCTAAATCCACTCCAATGGCTCCTCCTCTGCCGCTGCCGCTACCATCAAACCTAACTGACTCAACCAAAACCCCACATCTCTGCCTCTCAATCTAGATCTATCTCTCATGATGAAGTTTCAATTTACAGTGGAGGAGAATTGCATCGGAACGGAGAAGCTGAATTCGATAGAGAGAGGGAAGATTCAAATAGTCTTAGATCGGGAAGTAGATAGAGAGAGAGGATGTGGTTATGGTGGTGATGGACGGATAACTTCAATAAGTAGAGATGATTCGTTGACTCTTATCTACGCCTTCATCCTCACAAAATGGTAAGCCATCTCAATTGGTTGCTGTAGGGTTTTTAGATTTCTTTAATTTGGAAATTGGAAGCTTGAAAAACCCAAAAGGTACTCTTAATTAAGAGAAATCTGTTAACTGTAAACTTGATTTCCAAAAAGAGAACTCTTTATATCTGGAGATGGAGCTCGTGTGTGAAACTCCTCAGTAGGTGATGTTTACTTATATTCTTTAATTTGTTTTGATTTGGTTTTATCTCTTAACTTCAGATGATCCATTGAGTTGTATTCCTGAAACTTTGTTCAGGCCATCTCACTGGATTTGGTGTTAAAAGGCAGTCTTTTTCTATTATGAAAGTTCTTTCTATTAAATTATCATATTGATTGCTAAAATGTTGCAGCCGGAGCTGTACAATGGTTTGAGAGAGGGTAGCTTGTTGAATATCTTGAGTGGTGGAAAGTAAAAAAATTGTAAGAATACTTCAAGTGTAAGTTCTAACGCATGATGTGTCTATATTTGCTCCTCTGATTTAGTAACTTCATTTATTTGAACTTTTTTGTCTAGGAAATGAACAAGCTACGAACGAGAATGAATTATGGATACTTATGTCCCATGATTTGATGATGTCTTCTTTGACCTTCAGATTGCAGGGGAGGATTTTGGAAGGTACTTTCTTGTTACTGCTAGCTTTTTGTGTTTGATTTCTTGTTTTTTGCAGCTTGTATAAGGGTATTGCTCCACTTTGGGGACTTCATGATAATATTCCGATGTTTAGTTGGGTCTTGTTTCTGTGTGTGTGTGTCTGTTATAACTTCTAGCACTATGGTTCTCGTCGTGATAGTAACTGAATTTGGCATGATATTCGATTGTGTAGTTTAGCATTCATGGCCAAAAATTTGGAAAATGAAAATTAAAAACTTAAGATTTGAGACATGGAATAAAAATGATTCAAAGTAAGAATTGAAGATGGTTTTTTTTTAAAAGGACTTATTAGTTGATTGAGACATGGAAAGGGAAATAATTGCTTTGTATAACTCTTATGAAATTATTCATCCTAAAACCATTAATATATAAGATAATGACAACATACGTTTATAACAGTTACCGAAATTTATGTCATCATCTGTTATTTCGCATACATTTTATTCTTCTCATGAGAAACTCACTCTACCTTGAGATTAATTTACTTAGCACTAATTCCTTTTTTTTTGTTGGGTCATGAAGCATAAGTAATTCTTTAAAGGCAAAGTGTTGAAGACGCTGAAGTTTCCCTAGCTGGTACATTAAATTGCTCAATGCTATTTGCATAAGTTTTATTAGCTGCTTTCCCTTTTATTGAAAAGTAGTTTCTTACATTGTTAACTTTGCTACCTCTTCCTCTTCCAAGCTCTTCTTCTATGAACCACATAGTGATGATTTCAAGGTAAGTTAAGGCTGATGCAAGGTGAAAGCTTTGTTTAGAATAAGAGCTTTGTAAATCATCACTTTGATAAAGTTGAATCTTTAATTGTCAATAACTGTTGTATTTTTTTGTTAAGGATGATTCAACATGGCTTGAGCTTTTTGATCACTAGAATGTGATAAGTGGGTAGAGAAAGGAATTGCTTCAGCCATAGCACCAAGCTTGAAGGAAGAACAAGAACAAGAACAAGTCTTAATCAATAAAGCACCATTTGGAGTTTTGACGCAAGAACCAGAACAGTTAGAATTTGTGATCGTAGATAGGGTATTTTTCTTTGTCCCTTATCTCATAAATTAGTACTCTTGTTGTATAAGAGTCGTAGTTGATGTTTTTATATAAGGTTTGGTTTGTATTAGACTTGTATGTTTCTTTTATGGATTTTATATGAAATAAAATATATTTAAATATATATCTTTGACCAAATTTAATTTATATGAAAATATATGAAATATAGAATGTAAAAACATGTCAATTTTAATTGAAAAAAATAGCATCGATAAAATGCTACAACATAATATATCATGGCGTAAATAACGAGCTATAATTGAATCGAGTATAGCATTTAATTAACGTTATGGTAGAATAACCTATAATAGCATTCTTAAAAATGTTATCGTAGGTAAAAAACCTACGATAGCTGCCGATGTCATAGCATTTGTGAATTCGCTATGTAATATATATGATAGCAAATTTTTCGCGCTAACAATGAACATATTTCTTGTAGTGTTTGTAGAGTATACGATATATATTCGGTTCTTATGCTAATTTTTTTTTCGTTTTCCCAAATGAAAATACTTTTTTTTATTTATTTAGTATAATATATAAACAATCTTCAGTGATAATTTATTGTTTATGATAGATTGGAACTCGATCGATGTTTCTCCTTATGAACCTGTTGGAAGTTATTTCCCTGGAGGTTTCTTTGCTCTCGACAACAAAAACAAGATGCTAAAATCGTTCCCATCTTATAACGAGTATCTCAAAAGATTCAATCTAGCCTCAGGTTTTGTTTTTTTTTTTAATAATTCTCTAACATTAATTTTTTTCTTCGTTAGTGATTACTCACATTTCAAATATTCTGTTTTAAGTAACTCTATATAGTTGATACAAAAAGAACTAATTAAGAGTTTATGCATCATCTTCTTATGCTTATTCGATGTATATATTTTGATGCAGTGGAAATTTGGCAAACAGTGAGAAGCAAGTGTAGAGATGGTTTCATCACTTTGAGCATAAAATCATTGCACTTTTTCGTCTCGAAGTTTACGCAATTCAGATACTCAATATCAACCGCAACTCCAATGAGTCGCTCGTGGACTTCTAGAATTATTTTCTGGGTAACATTGACTCGATCAGTCTCGTCCATGGCTAATGATAAAGCTCTATGATTAATTTTTTCATCTTCATAGATAAAAGGTGTGGTTTTGTGATATGTAACTCTGTAAGGTGACACTCCGAGATGCTTATATAGAAGAAGAAATAAATAGAAAGAAATGAATTCAAATAGGTATTGTTGGATATTTAAGAGAAACTAATCGGTTAGATAAAATTTTCCATGGGTGCTGTAAAAAAAAAAAGATCAATTTTCTATGGATTATGCCAATTAAATTATTATGGACTAGAAGAAAGAGAAACTGCCCAGAAATAATTATTAAAAAAATGTGCCCAGATATATTTTGATATAATTTTGAATTTAATATATAAGTATAAGTAAATATTAAACGAAAAGGTGAGTGGAAACCCCTTTGACCTATTGGTTGACCAAAGGTTAATTAATGATTTTACACCAAGAAGTCTATAAAGATCGGAAAGAATTGTCCGTTGTAGAATCGTCTTTGTAAGTTCTCATAATTTGCAATAAATAATAAATCCAGACGTTAAAAAAAACCCGAAAAAGTGCATTAATGACTGTGTGTGGAAATAACTTTCATACTTTGAAGTTTGAACCGTATTGATTTCAAAGAATCTCTGAAAAGATTTTGTGGTAATATGCTATTATCATCTTAGTCACGCTAGAAACCCAATTCGAGTCCATTGCTTAATGTCCGATATTTGGTAAATCACAAAGCTATAATAGTAAATAAAGCGTCAGTTGATGTAATCATGTATAATTAGACTTGTCATATGTGCAAGAGCTCTATTCCATGGTTTTCCTAGTTCAGACAATCGGCATATGAAACCTCTTATTACATGTCATCACTGGTATGTGTTCTTTGGCTAAGAAGCTTTCGTATTTGTTTATCTTTTATACGCACGTCATTAGCATAAAACATAAAAGCATCAATTTTTGTTCACTATACAATGGTAATTAGCACATAATGTTAAAACAAAAGAAACGAATTTGTTCGTTTGGTGTACATGATTCTTCATTTTTGGCAATCGTTGGCGACTCTGACCATCAACCGCGAAAATACGCAGTTCTTTTAGGTGTCGCAACTCGCAACGACCGCATAAGTTTTAGCTGTTTAAAAGTTAATAACTTTCTTTTGTTTGTATTCTGGACCGGACCAGGATTTACCAAGCCAGTGGGTTTGGAAAAATGCTCAAAATCTCTTACGGATTAACTTTGCAAAAAAAAAAAGGGATTACGTTTGATTCAAATATAATATAAGGAGGAAATTATAAACATTTACTAAAAATGGAGGATTTGCTTTTGTAAATTCTAGATACTTGTCTGCACTCTAAATTCTAGATACTATACAATGGTAATGTTAAAACAGAAAGAAATGAATTTTTTACCAAAAAAAAAGAAAAAAAGAAAGAAAGAAATGAATTTGTTCGTTTGGTGTACATGATTCTTCATTTGGCAATCGTCGGCGACTCTGACCATCAACCACAAAAATACCTAGTTCTTTTAGGTGTCGCCGCAACTCGCAACGACCGCATAATTTTAAAAGTTAGTAACTTTTAACTGGGTCGCGTTTGATACAAAGTATAATATAAGGAGGAATTTGTAAAACTTTACTAAAAATGGAGGACTTGCTTTTGTAAATTCTAGATACTTGTCTGCACTCTTTCGTTTTCTGCAGATTGGAGAATTTGGGGGTAAATGCTCTGATACTTTTTATCACAGACTTGAAGAAGCTTTTATTCTTCTCCGTTTCTCTTCTCAGTGAATCAACGAAGAACCGTTATGCGCAAATTCTGGAGAATTTCTACTGGGATCGAACCATCGGTTAGAGATCTTGTAACAGATCATTGAACATACGAAACTCCGATTGAGCTAATGGAATCTGTCTCTGTCGCAGAATCGCCTGCTAGTTCTGATGCAACTGCGTCTCATTTGGTACGCATTTCTCTTTTGTTGGATGATTCTGGTTCTATAGTGTTGTGATTGTTTTGAAATTGAACAAGAATGTGGGTTTAGTTCAATATCAGATTCTGAAGTTGTGATTGTGTTGAAATTGGACATGAATTAGTGTTTTTGTGATTGCAGCCGAGTGTGTCTGTACTTTTAGATGCTCTTGAGCAGTCTGCATCTACACCTAGGATCACAAATGGTCTTTCGCAGCGGCTGTTACGTTCGTTACAGCTTTCAAATGAAAATAAGCTTTCGTTTAAGGTGTTGAATGGAGCTTGTCGTGTGCTCAGATTGGCTTGTATTCAAGCTAAGGAAAGTAGGAAGTCCGGGTGTGTTAGTCCTTTAGTTGAAAGTAGTGACAGTGGAGTTATAGTTGATTCAACTCTTAAGAAGTCTGATTCAAGTCGTGCAGAGGATTTTTGGTTTGAGTGCGTGGAATCATGCGTGGGGATTTTCACTGAGTTTTTCTCATCGACGGATGAAGCGAAAGTATATGTTTTGCGAAGCTCTGTTTGTGTTGATTGTCTTTTTGAACTGTTTTGGGAAAAAGCTGTAAGAAACAATGTGATGAAACTCATTATTGATCTCATGAAGGTATCTTTTTCAAATTAGTACTTATAAGTCTTAACTATACTTCTATTGATCTTTTAGCTTGTTAAGGAGAATGAAATGGATTTTTTTTTTATCCAAATTTTCAGATCAGGCCTTTGTGTGAGGAAGACAAAAGCGCAAAATTGCAAGTGTGTTCCAAATATCTAGAAACTTTCACTCAAGTGAAGGAAAGAGAAAACGATTTTGTTGACTTATCTGTTGATCTATTGGCGGGTATGAGGGATTTGATCAAGACTAATTCGAGGGTATGACTCTATGTTTGTTACAAAGTGCTTGTAACGTCTGTTTGGCGTCAGCTACCCCTGCTGTAAATCATTGTCTTTATTTTGTGCTTCCTCTAATTTTTCTCTTCTATTGTTTCGCCAATTCAGTATTACCAAGCCCTATTCCGGGAGGGGGAGTGTTTCTTACACATTGTCTCTCTCTTAAATGGTAATCTCGATGAAGCAAATGGAGAGAAGTTGGTTTTGAATGTCCTTCAAACTTTAACTTCCCTGCTTGCAAATAATGATACGTCAAAGGTGATTCTTCTTTTCTTTTGCTCTTAGCTTCATTAAGGATCACCTAAAATGACTTGTTCACTTATCACCTTGGGATGAGAAAAAAAAAAAGATGGGGTCATGGAAGAAGTAGATTTTTGTAGCATAATTAGCGACATTCAAAATTTGTTTCCTTAAAGCGTGTTAGCAAAATATGAATATCGCACCTCTCCCCCAATATTCATGTAGATAAGGATTTTCCCTGGATTACTTGTGAACATTACTTAACTTTATTTGGGATTGAAGTAATAGTGAAAGAAATCTTGGAAGTGAACTTTGATCTCAAATAGTCAATTAGTAGAACGAAAGACACATGAATTTTTTATTGTTTTGGACGACCTGAGCTATGTTGAACCTAAAGGTCTCTTGCACTAGTATAATTAGTTTTTGCCACTGCTTCCTTGTGCCCTTCAGTTTGCATTTAAAGCCCTTGCTGGCAAGGGTTATCAGACACTTCAAAGCTTATTGTTGGATTTCTTCCAATGGAAACCTACTCAAAGGCTCTTAGACGCACTACTTGATATGCTTGTTGATGGAAAATTTGATGATAAAGGCAGTGCCCTTATAAAGGTGATGTAGTTTTCATAATTTATCAGTTAATGATTTGTTTTTTAATTGTTTTCTAATACCTGGTTCACTGGGGCTAACTCTATTGTCCTGTTTCCATGTTGAAATTTTTTTTCCTACTCAGAATGAAGATGTTATCATACTTTACTTAAATGTACTTCAGAAGGTTGGTGCAATTCTCGTTACTTGGATTTGCCTTTTCCCATATTTTGGTTTGGGATATTTCCTTACTGTGGAGTTGTATGATTTGGCAGAGCAGCGAGTCTTTGCAGTGTTATGGGCTAAATTTGTTTCAGCAACTCCTTAGGGATTCCATATCGAATCGTGCTTCATGTG